GCCTTACCATGGCTTGACAAGCAGCGCGTCGGTCCGTGCCCAGGGCCCAAACCTGCGCACCCCTGGCTGCCAAAGCAGCACATGCGAATTTAACCAGCCCAGCCCCTATTTTTAAGATTATAGCTCACAAGGGGTACTTTTTAAGTGAAATGGGAGGATTTCCGGTGACAAATAGATGAGAAGGACAGTAATCCAGATAACTTTGGGCCCCACGGCAAACTCTGAGGAAAACAATGACATAGTACACGTCAAAACCCCTAACATTCTCCACTCCCATGCCAACTTTGTCTCTGCTCTTAACTAGCAATTAAAGCCCTACAAGATCATAGAAACCTCCAAGATTTCATCAGCAGAGAGTGAAGAAATGTGTAGGTTGAGAGGAAGTTCTGCTTCCTTTGGCACAAAATTGTTGTTTACAGCCAAGAATATTTAATTTTGGTAACTTATTTGCCAAACACTTCTGACACTTAATTCTTTCTGAGTTCAATTTCCCTTTTAAAAATTATTATTTTATTTTTTACTGAAGTAAATCCTTTAGTATTCTTTCAGCCTGCCTGTGTAAGGGGTAAATTCTCTCTGAAGATATCTTTATTTCATGCACATTTAGCTGGGTATAGACTTTAAGGTTGACAGTTCATTTTCTCTCAGCTCTTTGAGGACATTATTCCATTATTTTATGACATCTTTTGGCTAACTGTTGATCCTTAGTTGATAATCTGTCTTTTCTATTTTACTGTTTTTTAAAAATATTTCCCTCTCTCCTCTATCTCTCTTTCTCTCTCATGTTTTGAAAGCTCACTGCAAAATAGTTAGTTGATGGATTTTTGTTTGTTTTTACACATCATTTTTCTAATATGAGGGCTCATGTCTTCAATTCTGAAAAATTCTCATCCATTTTATCTGTGAACATTCCTCTCTTTATTTATCCTTTTTATTTTCCTTATTATAAAATGCCTATTAGACATGTACTGGACACCCTCATTCTGTCTTTCATGTCTTCTAATCTCTCTTCAATACTTTTTCATCTTGTTCTGTCTTTGCACGAAATTTTATATGATTTCTTCAAATATATTTCTGGTTTATTAATCTTCTCTTCAGCTGTGTCTAATTTGCTGTAAAATTTATCCATTAAATTTTTAATCTTAACTATCATTAATCCCTTTAAACATCTATAAGTTCTAATGGGTAATTTTCCTATTAGTCTTCCTTTTCATTGTCTCCTGTTTTAACTAACTTATATCACTTCTTTAATACTTTAGATATATATTTTATGATCTGTCCTAATTTTTATTTTCTTCAGTTCTTGAGATTGCTAACAGTCCCATTTTTTTTGGTCTGCTGATTCTCTTTTATGGTGGACTTTCGATTATGAGCTTAGCTGCTAGGAGGAATATTCCTTTTTAACTCTGTTGCTTTGTGCCCTGAATTCTGGACATACCTCTATAAATTGTCTCTGTAGGGCTCCAGGATAATAGTAGTAATAAGAGAATGAGGAGGAGAACAATGACAATGAAGAATAGGAGGAGGAGGATTGTCAGCAGCAAATAACATCTGTTGACCTTTTACAATTTTCCAGGCATTGTTCTATGAACTTTACTTATGTTAATTAATCTAATCCTCGCAGTAACATTATATATATAGGCACTGTTATTATCTCCATTTTTATGGATGAAAAAACTGAGGGAGGGAAAGGTTAAATAGATTGTGCAAGGTCACACAGCAATGACAGAGTCAGAATTCAAACCCAAGTTTGGCTCTAGAGTGCGTACACTTACTGCTCTGATAGTGTGCTTAGACATGTTGCTTTGCAGGGAAAATTCAGATCTCGTTCCCGTGTCCTGTATCTGACATGTGCTACATAGGCGTGAGTTTTTCATTTTCTGTGGAGGAGATGTATTTTTTAACCCAGAGATTGGGCAAAGAGTACATAACCTTACTTTTCCTGGGGGTAGTTGGTGAAGTGTTTCTAGACTCTATTTCTAGCGCTGAACAGTCCCGTGAAGCCTCTGGATTCAAGCAGAGGTATGAAGTCCAGCTTCATAACCTGTCAAGCACCTAGTCCAGGTCACTGGGTTATGAAAACACCTCTCTGGCCTGCTGGGTTTCTGACATACCACTCACAGTTCTGGCTTTAATTTCCCTTTTCATTTTTAACACTGAGGATGTGCCTTCCTTTCTCTTTGTGTCTTCCATTCATTCTTACTTTCTTTCCTTCTTTTTTAAAGTTTGTTTATATATCTGAACTTCTATTTTACATATATTTTACACACCATTTCAATGTGCTTCTAGCTGGAGGTTAGGCGCTTCCTTATCATATGAGGTCATATTTATGGGGAAATCTTCTGGTTTAAATGAGGAAAAAGGCCCTAAAAATAAAAATAAATCAGAGTAAAGAAGTTAAGAGAGACAAATACAAAGAATACACAAGGAATAATGATAAGAAGTGAAACTAGTAAAATGTATATAATCTAAATAATTTTTCATATTGTAGTTGTGAATTTCAATGCAATTGTAAGAAAAGCAAAGTGAAAATGATTTCTAAAATAGAGTACATTATTGTTCTGAAACAACAATAACAACAACAAAATTAAAAACCTAAACTATATTCCAGGTGATTTAAAAGAAACTTAGAATTTTTGTTTGGACCATTGACCCATTATTAATACAAAATTTTAACAGTGTTTATGACCTTCTACCCTCCCCCCACAATAAGACCTTTAGAACATCCTCATTACTTTTATTTTTTCCATTTTTTGATGTAAAAGGCATGTAATATTTTGCTGTTGACTATTTTTTAAAATAGAACTAATTACCAAGGAGAGAAATGTATGTACATAACATCATGGTCTTAAGTGTTTTTTAAAAAATTATCCCCCTTTCCTCCAGGAAATCTCTCAGATTTATGATTATTAACATCTGTGGATCGGGAGCCATGTCAAATATTTGAGATTTCCCAATTCACGGACTTTGGTTTCCTGTTTTGCCATTAACTGTGGCAGGTCAGGAAGAGTTTGCAACTCTTTGCGGAGAAAGATAGACTGTGCAACGGGAATTGAATAAATTTCAGGTTTTTTTCCTAGCTTTCATGCATAAAAATTGACCTGAATCTTTTTGTATGTATTTTAGTCCTTAGCAATTCACTTACTTTTTGTTTGTGCATATGCCTTATGAAATCCTGCATCTACTATGACCAGAGCGAGAGAAAGGAATTTTTGTTCACAATTCTTCATTTGTCCAACTTAGGTGCTTCTGCAAGGCAAACTGTGGGTTGCTTAGATTTTATTAGGTAAAAAACGTTCAGCTCCAGCACGTTCTGCCCATTTGGTCTAAATTAGTCAACTATATCATTGGCAGTTGTGTTTATGCATTCGTAGTGAAAAAAAAGAAAAGAAAGCATCGCTAAAGATTTGTCATACAAATTTAACTCCATTGTTTGGTTAGTTATTGTTTTCACTTGTTTATTGCTCTTTCCCCATCTTGGTCTCATCATATCTGAAGGGCTAGTTTCATTTTCCTCGTTTACCATTGTCCCCCTTATCCCTGGAGTTGAGAGGCCAAGTCACAAACACAGGGTTTGTTTTATTCCCACCAACCAGGGAGCAGTCATTTCCCTGCAGAATAATTGGCTTAGGGAAAAAAAGACAGAAAACAAAACAAGGTCATCACGTGCAGCTTGGTCTGACTACACCCCTTTTCAGAAACCAGCCTGGGTCAGAACTATTGGGAGTAGGTACCCATTTAAGGAATAAATGAAGAAGTGCCGATAAAGAAATTTTCACTGTTGCTTTGGACGAAAGGAGAACTGTGCTTTGACAGTGTTTCCAGAGTACTTTTTGTAATTTTCTTGACAGTAAGTAAAGCTCTGTTTTGTTGTGCTATGCCAAATATGTGGGTGGACACTGCTAAAATCAGTCTATTTTTCAGATCTTACCAAATACATGTTTTATAGTAGAATTTAAAAATTTTTTCCCAACCAAATTTTATTGTGTAAATACAATGGTAGAATATAGAAAAATAGTAAACTTTACTTCTATACTAGCTGAGGGAGAATTGTCTGAATATTTTGATATGCAAATCTAAGATAATTTAATTTTGAGATTATAAAAACAAATTATCTCGGTTTATTTGCAAACATTTGGGCAAAATTACTTTCACATGTGATTTTTTTTCTTTTCTTTCTTTCCTTTTTTTTAACTTACTTTGTGGTTTGTTTCCTGGGTTATTCAGGGACTTCTGAATTCAGAAAATTGAGATAAATTGTTTTATTCTTGCTGTGTCTCAGAATCAAGTTTCAAGTAGTTTGAGTCTGGATTGTTATCTCACGGCCTAACTTTTTTGATAAAAGTTGTTCAGTTCAATCTGGAAGGTAAATAGTCCAAGAAAATATTTCCCTAGGGTTACATCTAATGGACATAACTATTCAGATGAATCTAAGTAATCCAAATTTTGACGTTAATTTGATTAGCTCTGGGATTTCTATTTAAATGCAAAGAGATGAGATACAATTCAAGTACTCTATTCATATAGGTGAATTTCATTATAAAAGTTCAAAAATGTGAAGTATCTTACAGGTTCTGAAATATAATGATATTTTTTCTTTTGCAATATTCCATATTATTGTAGATTGTGAAAATATTCACTCTACCTCCCCACCATTACCCCCTCTCCCAAATAGCTTACAGTCAGTATATTTGATGTCAAATTTTGCAGTCATGAACTATCAAAATAATATTTTATTTTTTTAATTTTTTATGTAGTTATTTTTAAATTAATTTTATTTTTTATTGCAGTAACATTGATTTATAACATTATATAAATTTCGAGTGTACATCATTATATGTCGATTGAAATAATATTTTAGATCAATTTTTTTGCAATTCTTAAAGGTAGGAAATGTTTTCCAGAAAAATATGTTCAAGGTTTTTCTTATTACACTTATTTTTCTAGTTAATGCTCTGCCATGTTTACTTTCTCCTTGTTCATTTAATGAACAGGCTGAATACATATGAAACAGAAAAGTGTGTATCAACAAACTCAAGCACTTCTGTGCAAAAATTTTCTTCAGAAATGGAGGACGAAAAGAGAGAGTGCGTGGGTACGTTTGAAAATTTGTCTCTTCTGCAGTTAGCATCATTCTTTTATTTCATTGCCTAATGATTCCCTTATTTTATATTTTAGGTAGCAGACTGGCTTTATTGATTTTGAGGTTGTCTCTAGTTGTATTTGTTGAATTGAAAGACTCACAGAAGTCCTGAAAAATAACATAGAATTGTAAAGACTGAAAGTATTAACTCATATTTTTTTAAAAAAGGAGATTAAGTGAAAATTTAATTATATGGTAAATTATAACAACTGACAAGGCTGCTATAATTTACATGTAATACATTTAGAGTCAAGAAATAACGTAAGTAGTGCCTAGCAGAAGTTGAGATATTTTAATTTGGGGGACTTGTATTCAAGACCATGAATTTTCTACACAGAGATTATTTCCAAGAATTATGAGCAAGTAACACCACTGATTGTCAGGTCGAATTAGGTGGGCTATCTACAGGTAACAGCCCCAAATCTCAGTGGCTTAACACAGCAAATGTTTATTTTTTCACTCTTTTCATAGTTTGAATAAGGTTCGAAGTGAAAGTGAAGTGGGTTGAGTAGGTGAAGGAATCTTCTCCACACAGTCATTCAGGGACCCAGGCTTCATCTAGGGATTCTGCCATCTCCCTAGGCCTTGGAGACCTCCACTGGATCCTCTGCATTCAGTCAGAAGATCAGGATGTAGAGCGACCAAGACAGAGAGAATATAGAAGGTTGTGCGAGGTTCCACGATCCAGAACTTGAAGTGGCACATATCACTTCTGCCCACATTCCCTTGGCCAGAACTCAATCACTTGGTCCCACCTAATTTCCAGAGGCTGGGAATGTAGTCTAGTATTGTGGCAAGCAGGGAGAGATTACTGATATCAGTGAAACACTAGACAGTCTCTACCACTCAGTTCCTTTTCATTTTCTTTGATTTCCAATAGGAGGATATGACAACTGACAAAAATGTTGCTATTTGCCACCATGAACTCTATCTGGGATACTCTGTGCCTTATAGACTCTAGAATCAGATGCCCATGCATATAGAGATTGTCAACCTATTAGTTTCTATGATAGCTTCTGCAGTAGCTCGTGATTTAATGAAAAAGTTTAGCTCTAGTATTGGAGAATGATCCATGTGGCAACTATCTTGGTTTGTATCTTTCATTGGGTTTCCTCTGCTCTGAAGAGTGGAGAGCAAAGAGAAGCCAACAAGATGGCAAAATTGGAGTTTGTCTTCAACAGTTGTTTGGCATTGACTGAGCTGTTTAAGGAAATACAATCTAATTTTTTTTCTGTGTTATAGGAATGGGGGGTCCCAATACTTCTAGGACTGTATATGGGCCTATTTTCAAATTTAAAAGAAAATATCCATTTTCCTGAAATGCCTCCTCAGGATCTGGGAAGGGTAGATAAATTTAATGGCTCTTCCATGGTTGTCGTGTATACACCGATCTCTGATATAACCCAGCAGATAATGAATAAAACGGCATTTGCTCCCTTTTTGAAAGGTAGGTGTACTAATGGCAAAAAAGAATGTCTGATATTATTTTATATCTTTTTGAAAAGATGTATACATGTTTAATTTGAAGTTACAGTGATCTGTTACACTAATTATTTAGGTATCAAGATAGCATACAAATTTGGTTAGTTTTTATTTTCTCTCTCACAACAATTAGCTTTTTAAACCCTTTCAGCTTGATGGGGGTCCAATTTAGGGAGGCCTACATTTCTGTTGGAATTTAACTAAAACAATAGATTTATAATTTTGGATTTGCAGAATAGTGTCTAGGAGGAGTACGCCATTGGTGGATGTGGGTGTTTTTAACATGGGAGTACAATAATTAAGATTTATAACTCAGGAAAAAATATCTAAATAAAAGAAATTCAGTTATGGTTATTAATCAATAATTTCAGAACTATGTAAAGTAAAGATGGGTAATCTAAAGATATTCTGTCCGTGTTTGGTGTAATTTGCAAACATCTTTAAAGGCCTTCATTCTACATGAGGTAACTGAGATAACCACTAGGTAACTGAGATAACCAAAATGTGTATTTCACTCATGGGCAAGTTGGGTGCAATCTGACTGTCTACTATTTAATCCTCAATTTCTAACAGGTGAAATTGCTGGCTGTTAGAAGTAGAGTCAATTTATGATTCCTGCATAAGGCAAAGTTCATATGAGGTGCCTTTGCTTCAATAACTCTGATCTCTTATGCATACCAATTATCTTATGCATACTTATGCTGGCATAATCTTTTTATGTACCTAAAACTTGCCCAATACCTGTCATTATTAAAAGAAAACACACTTACTTCTCATACATGTCTCCTGATTCTAGAACCTAAAACATTAGAATAAAATTTCCCTTCTTGCATTTGGGATAAGTTTTATTAAAATGGAAAATGATTTTATTTTAATTCCAATGAAAATACATGATGACACAGTTGGATATCACATTCTGTTTTGGTGAAATGCTTCAACAATCTTCTGTGTCTATTTTCCCTTGTAATTCCCAGGAAGAAGAGTCATTGGGGCACTAAATCAAAAACATATCGATGAAATGCTTCTAGATGATTTCCCATACGTAGTAGGAGTCATCTTTAATGACACTTTCTCTTATAAGTTAAAATTTCTTCAGGGATATGCCATTCCATTTTTGAAGGAAGAACTTTTCTCAGGTAACTTTCCATATAAAATATCGTTATGGCATTTTTCATGTTTTTAGCATAAGGAAGGGGTCAGGATGGGCAAGAGAGATGCTTTCAATGGCACATGAGGAAATAGATAAAGCACATTTCATTGCTGAATTTATTCCAAGATCAATCATATTTTCCCACTAGAGGATGATGCTCAAAAAATCATAAAGTCATCCAACACATAGATAGTGAGCTCACAGATGTAGGCTGCAAAGGATACAGAGGGTGATCAAGACTGATAGGTCTCAGTCTCAAGTGAGATTCCAGGTTAGCAGGAAAGAAAGACATTGAACAGTTAATGTCAAGTGCAAGGAAAGGTGCTCTGGGGCACTTAGACCGGAGGTTCCTAATAAGCTGTGGGGTTAGAGAAGACCTACCTGGGGAAGTGTTGTTTAAACTAACATCAGAAGGAATAGCACATGTGAGGTACTGGAGGCATTGGGTTTCAGTTACAAGAAGGTCCAGTGTGAAGGCCCTGAGGTGAAAAGGGGCGTCTTTTGGTATATATGGAAGAAGAGCAGTATAGTTGAATAGAGAACATGAAAGAGAATGTGATGGGAGAATGAGGCCAAAGTTATTCAAGACCTAGATCCCATGGCGTCTTGTAAACCTAGGGTGATGGACAGCCGTCAGGGTACTTGAATCAGGGCAGAGTCTAAGGGAGCACTCTGGATATATAGCCCAGAGAATGGATTGCCGAGGAGTCAGTCATGCCTTGAAATGTACTAGTGTACATTTCACTAGGGAAATATACACTAGACCAGAGTGGAGGCAGCTGAGATGGAGAGAGGTGAATGGATTTGAGGACCTGTTAGGAAGCGGAATTGCTGTGAGTTACAGCATTGGTTCTTTTCCATTCATTCACTGTATCTACTATGTGTTTCACGCTGTTCTTGTTCTTGACCTTGAGGACTGAAGTGAACAAAACACAGAGCCTGCTTGCACGAATCATTCTAGGCAGGGACAGGGGATGGGGGAAAAACAACCCACTCTGTCAAGTGATGATAAAGCAACAAAGTAAAATAAAGCAGGGTTAGAAGATAGAGATGAAACAGCTATCTTAGATATTTTTATTTATGGTGGCCAGGAAAGACCTCTATGCTAAGCTTACTTTTGAGAAGAGATCAGGATGGAGGGAAGGAGTGAGCTGTGTATCCATCTGAAGGGAGAGCATTTGAGGCCAAAAAAAGTTCAAGCACTGGAGTGTGTTTGGCATTTTGAGCACAGCAAGGAGTTCAGTATGGTTGGAGCAGAATGTTTTCTTTCATTTTCTTTTTAATTTTCAAGACTTCCTATGCATGCTATGGTCTCCATGAATAAAATTGCCTTGTTAAGAGCTTTCATTTGCTTCTTTTTTCTAAGTGGTTAAAAGTTCTGACTGGTGGAGCCTCCTCTAGGTTGTTTCCTCTTTGATTCTTGTTTCTTATTTTCTGATTGCCCTCATCTCATAATGTTGGTTATGCTTTTCTTTGTGCCTACAGCTCATTGCTGGGATACACATTATGGGTTTTCATGTTCACTGGCCAAATACTGGAATAGAGGATTCGTGACTTTACAAGCTGCAATTAATGCTGCTATTATAGAAGTAAGAAAAGTTCTAATAATTAACATAAACTAATTCCAGAAACATCAAGACTTTCATGAAAGATGATGAATACTCAGGTTTTCATATGTTTATATAGTGAAGCAGCTACACAAATGCTGAAATTGGATTTAGGCAAAGAAACACATTGCTGTTTCTTTTTAACTTTAAATTTTCCAGTAATTATAGAATGATAGGAAGTTGCAACGACAATGTACAGGGAGATCTGTGTGCCCTTCACCCAGTTTCTCCTAATGATAATATCTTACATAACCACAGAACAATATTAAAACCAGGAAATTGACACTGGTACAATCCCAATAGCTTATTGATTTCACCAGTTTCTCTACTTTAAATAATGATTTTGTTTTTGTAAATCCTTTTTTAGATCATGACAAATCACTCTGTGATGGAGGAGTTGATGTCAGTTACTGCTGTAAATATGAAGACATTACCTTTTATATCTAAAGACATCCTTCAAAATGAGATGTTTATTTTCTTCTGTTTACTTTACTTCTCCCCATTTATATATTTTCTATCATTCAATGTTACAAAAGAGAGAAAAAAGAGTAAGGATTTGATGAAAATGATGGGTCTACAAGATTCAGCATTCTGGTGAGTGACCTATTCAAGTAATACAAATGAATAAGAGAAGTTAAGAAGCCGTGTAAAAGCATTATTGTTTCAGAACATTATGATCTAAACTTGACACATTGGCTACTTTTTCTTTTGTTCTGACTTTTTGATCTAGTCTTTGTTACATTTTGCTGTGCAAAATAGTGGTTATGATTTGCTGAACACTTTTTCTGTGCCATATGTTAAGCTAACGCTATGATAGAGGAAGCGTTAAGATCAAAGAGAATAAAAGAGTTGCCCAAAATCAAGTGGATGATGAGTGCCAGAGCTGGGGCTCCAAACCAGCTGCCCTGATTGCAACTCTCCTGCTTGGTCTGCCCACAGTTATCATTTGATTTCTCGAGATTTCCTCATGTTGAAGAAAATATAATCCTATAATGGCTAGTTTGTGTTCAGAGGTTTGGTCACCAGGGATGTATTTCTTAGAGCAACTGAATACCATATGTTGAAGTTAAACAAGAAAGGCTACATAATGTTCCCAGCATATACACATAGGAGGGCATATAGGACGAGCTTAATAAGAGCATTTGCTTCATATATTGATATATTTGTATCTTGCCCCATTCCACAAATGATTTAAAGTGATTTTGAAATATACATACATGTATACACACACGTGTGTATGTATGTATCTATGTGTGTATTTATATTATAATGAAAACAAATAATTGAGGATTAGAAACAAAGACCTAGAAAAATAATAAATAGGTAAGTTTAGCAGATAACAATGCAAATCATACAAGCTCTAAGCCTCCGAGAGGCCAAAGCAGAGAATTCTGCAATATAATTAGTTACAAAATCCATGCTAAAAAAAGGAAAAAAGGAAAAATAATCTGTCTCACCCCAAAAGAAACCTAACATTTTTCGATATTGAATCCTGGGAGATATTTCTCTGAAGACTCCTCATATCAAGAAAATACTCTTTATAAATGTGGAATTATCTGGAATGGATGAGGAACTACTTACTGAATAATTCTTTGCAAGCCACATGTTCCCTGAAATAAAATTATGGTCTAGGAAACTTTAAATTTACTATAAAGTATATTTTATTAACAGAGAGATTCTAATTCGATTATATTCTAATTCTAATCTAATTAGATTAGATTCTAATTCTAATATACATGAAGGTTGTAAAATAGAAAAAGGGGAAACTCTTGAAATAGAAAAGAAAGGAGAAGAGTATTTTTGCAGTGGAACTTTGGGAAATAGAAAGGAATGGATGGAGTCTGTTAGGAGGGAAGAGAGAGGGGATCTGTGTAAAAAGGGTGTGTCCCGTGGGACAGCATACCTGCAGTCACCTGAGAATAGGTAGGCACAAGTCAACTCTAGGTTAAAATCAGAAAGATATTGGATATTTAGATGTGGATTCATTCTCGGGATAAATGCTTCTTGGTATACATGTAACCTAAAACTTAGCAAAATGAATTTATATATACATTCTTAAAACTAAAAAGGAAAAACATTTTTGTTAAGTACAGGGTGTCTGTTGGAAATAAATTTTATGACCACTTTTTTTTTTACTAAGGTAATAAATGTGAAATGTCATCAGTATTTATTCTTTAAGTGTGATGTCTGAATTGCTTTGTTTTTATCATGAAAGTTTTCATAGGTTTATTAACATCTCCCCATCCCCCTCAGCTCCCTGCAACCAGTTCCTTTTTCTAGGTAGTGTTTTAATTTCCTTCATTTGTAATTCCCCTATCCTACGTTTTTTCAATTCCTACCTATAGTAGTTCCCGTCTGTACTCAGGAAGTGGATTCTGCAGGATGTGGTATGCTTTTTCAAAAACGCTGATGTTTCTAACACAGTCTGAATCATTGTAATGACGTGAAATTTTAAAAGAAATCAAATAAGCAGTAAACATGTTCTACCGGGACATATTGATGCAAGTTCCTGATTTTAGTACTTTTGCTATTTTCTTTGGTTGTTGAATTCTTATTTAATTAGGCAATTTTATGTGGAGGAAAGAGCTCTGGACTGAGTGAAGGCCTGTAGCATCATCTTAGCTTTGTTATTGATTTACTTTATTGACCTTGAATAGACCCATTAACTAATAAAAGGGACTGCAGTTTACGCATCTGTAAAATGAGAAGCTTGGACTAAAACACCATATAGGCTTGTCAGATCTAAGATCGAATGCTATTTCTTAATACCCACTCCATAAAAATGAGGACACCAGCTCATCCAAAGCAAAACAATGTGAACTACTTAAGGGTGTACCATAATTTATATCAGTTTAAATAAAGAAATCATGAATAGGAATAACAAGAATGGAATGGCCTTAGTGCAGTTATGAAATGTCCATTTTCCACTACCGGGGAGAGTGGAGGTGCTGAGATCCTCAAGAATGGCCGAGTTATCATCTGCCCCCAGTGCTTCCGTGGTTACTTGATTGATCAGCAGCTAAGTTTCCTTCTAATTCTACAATTAGAACACTTTGGTAATATACAATAAAACTGAAGATACAAAATGTTTATCTCCTTTAATTCAGCGATTTCACCTTAGAGAAATTTTTATGCATTTTACCAAAAAAGACAAGTACAAGAATTTTCTTAACAACATTGCATTAGAAATAAAAATTGGAAACAATCTAAATATCCATAAGCAGGAGAACATTGGGTTATATTCATACAATGAAATATTATACAGCAGTGTATAATATTGTATGTATTGACTGATAAAGGCAAGTTGCAGAATACATACAAGATGATACTATTTATGCAATGTTCATACTATTTATACAATACGTGAATACAGAGCTGACACCTAGCCAGTAGGCACCTGCACAGCCATGCCAATGTAATATTAGTAATATCTTAGTTATTAATCTAGGTGGTACAAGGGTAATCGTAATATTCTTTATTTATTTATTTTTTTTTTTTAAAGATTTTATTTATTCAGTTTTTTCCCCCCAAAGCCCCAGTAGATAGTTGTATGTCATAGGTTCACATCCTTCTAGTTGCTGTACGTGGGACTCGGCCTCACGTTGGACGGAGAAGTGGTGCCTCGGGGCGCTCCCGGGATCCGAACTGGGGCCGCTAGCATCAGAGCGCGTGCACTTAACCGCTAAGCCACTTTCGTATGTTTTAAATATTTCATAATAAAGTTAAAATAATTGAAATAACTTTTTGTCTTTATTTAGGCTTTCCTGGGGTTTAATTTATGCTGCCTTCATCTTCATTACTTCCATAATCATTACAGCTATCATAACATCTACCCAAATTGTAGTCATGACGGGCTTCATGGTCATATTTACACTCTTTTTCTTATATGGCTTATCTTTGGTAAGTTCCTACATTTATTACCACTTTCTCTGATTTAGGTCTTAATTATATACAGCAAAATTAATGTCTCAGCAGGCTGCTGCAGTCACTTCATTCATGTCCATGTTGTGTGTGTGTGTGTGTGTGTTTGCTTGAGAAAATCTCTATGGGTATGAGAAAATGATGTAACCTAAAGAAAATTGGACCTCTCTTTTGCATAAGGGTTTGAATTAATGAAATGATGCATCAAAAAAATTGTTTTGACTCAAAAATATCAAAGACTTTTCTAGATGATTAATGAGGATGCTCTTGAGGAGTGAACCCATCTTTTTTCCCCAAAGGTCCCCCATCACATGGTAGCTTTTCACAACGTCTCTTCTCCCTCTAATAGCCCACCTTGCGCCGACTTCCCACATCACTCTTCTTCTCTGAACAAGAGCCTCTAATTTCTCCCACCTTCCAGGGTGTTTCTGCAGAGGGTATGTGTATGTTCTTGCTTAATACATTAATTTAGTTTCTTTCAATCTTTCCAATTCTGCGTTTCTGTCCTCTCCTCAGCTCTTCATCCTGCTTTTTCCATCCTTTCCTCAACAACAAAAGCCCAGCATCTGAGTAGGGTAAATATGGATCCTCTTTACAAAGGGGTTGACAGAAGGACTGAGCATGATTATGCCTTAATATTTTCATCACTGTCTCACTGATAAATGTTTATGTTATGATATAAAGACTCTTATTTTATTGTGCTACCAACACTTCTCAGTGAACTAAACCTATATAACAGGTAGCTGTCTTCTCTCTTTTTCAGATAGCTTTAGCATTCCTGATGAGTGTGTTGTTAAAGAAAACTGTCCTCACCAATTTGGTTGTGTTTCTCCTCACTCTCTTTTTGGGGTGTGCAGGATTCACTGCATTTTATAGACAAATTCCTTCATCTTTGGAGTGGATTTTGAGTATTTTTAGCCCCTTTGCCTTCACTGCTGGAATGACTCAGGTAAGAGCATAGTTAATGGGTTTATTTTTAAACTTTCAAAAAGAATTTGATAGTTCATTACTCTTCATAATCAACACTCTTTCAAATTAAGAGCTCTTGCTCTAAACAGTTCTACTCTAAAGCTAAATTTGAAAATATTATTGCATTGCATAAAAATTTTCATCTCACAAGGAAACTTGAATAAAAAAATCTCAAATAGGGGCCAGCTCAGTGGCATAGTTGTTAAGTTCGCACACTCCACTTTGTCAGCCCAGGGTTCTCAGTTCAGATCCCAGGCGTGGACCTACACACGGCTCATCAAGCCATGCTGTGGCAATGACCCACATACAAAATAGTGGAAGATTGGCACAGATATTAGCTTAGGGACAATCTTCCTCACCAACCCCCCCCCAAAAAAAAACAATCTCAAATAAGACATTTTTGCATCTCTGATGTATTTTCATTTTGAAGTATTTTCTTCTAGTTTTTTCTATATGCAAATACTTACCCTTCTTTTTACTTCATATAATGAAAGCATTCTGCTAATTTATTAAAATTTGTTGTATAAACCTCTTTTTGAAACGTCAAATATGGAAAACTTTCAAGACATAAATATACAGATTAACAAATAATTATAAGTATATAAAAGTACTCATGAACTAGATCAAGAAATAGACCATTGCTACAACCCCAGAAGCTTCTCCAAAACTTCCTTCTAAAGGTAAAAGTTTTATGATAATCACTTCCTTGCTTTTCATTATTACTTAAGTATGTGTTCCTAAATACAAATTTAGTTTTGCTTATTTTCAACTTTATATGTCATATTGTACAAAGTGTATTTTTGAGAATCTGCCTTCTGTCACTCAACATTATGTTTTTAGATGTCATCCATGGTTTGTGTGTAGTTATAGTATAGTGTTATGTAGTATTCTATTGTACGAATATACTATTGATTTTCTCATTGATGGACAAAAATATTCTCCAGTTTTGGACTATTATGAGTAAGTCTGCAAAAAGAAATTCTTATACATATTTCCTAGTGAATATGGGCATTCAGTTCTGTTTGGTGTATATCTAGGAGTTGAATAGTGAGACCTAGAGTATGTATATATGATCTTCATAGCTGCTGCCAAATATTTTTCCAAAGTAATTGCATCAGTTTACTTTTGCACCAACAGTGTTTCAGAATTCAGTTGCTCCAGATCTTCACCAACATTTGGAATTGTCAGTCTTCCAAATTTTAGCCATTCTGGCGGATATGTAATGATATATTGTCGTGGCATTAATTTGCATTTTCCTGATTATTGATGAAGTTGAATACCTTTTCATATGCTTAGTGGTTTTTTGTATTTTCTCTTTTACAAATTGCCTATCCAGTTCTTTTCCCCATTTTTTAAACAGAGTTTTCTATCTTTTTCTTATTGCTTTGTAGAAATTCCTTATATATGCTGGATATGAGACATTTTTCAGTTATTTGTTGCTCACATTTTTGCTCTTTTAATGATGCTTTTAATGAACAGAAGTTCTTAATTTTGATAAAGTCCAGTTTGTCAAGTTTTTCTTTTATGTAGAGGCCTTTTGTATCTTTAAGAAATTATTGCATACCCCAAGATTATAAAGATATTCTCCTATGTTTTATTCTGGAAGCTCAATTGATTCAGCTTTTATATTTGGATATAAAATCTATTTCAAAATAACTTTTGTGTATTTATACATAGAGACAATATTAATTTTTCTACGTGAATATCCAATTGCTTCAGCTCCATTTATTGAAAAGACCATCATTTCCCCAAATGAATTGCAGTATTTTCTTTGTCACAACTCAGCCAATCATGTATTGACCCGTCTGTCAATCCTTGCACTGTTGTCACGTTGTCTTCATTGTTTTTCTTTATAATGTGTCTTGATACCTGGTAGTAATAATTTTACTACTTTATTTTCTTTTTCAAGAGAGTCTTTTCTAGTCTAGGTTCTTTGCAGTGATGTAAATTTTAGAATTAACTTATGCAGTTATATACACACATGTGTGTGTGTGTGTGCAAAACTGTTGAGATTTTGATGCAGTTGAATTTTTTCATCAATTTGGGGAAAATTAACACTTTTTTTTTGTCATGAACATAATATATCTTCACATTCATTTTCCCTTAGTATTTGTTTTAGTTTTCAGTATAGAGTCTTGCATATTTTTGTTTGATTTATTCCAAAGTTTTTGATACTTTTGATGCCATTATAAATAGCATCTATGTTTAAATTCTTATTTCTAAATGTTTGTTGTTAATGTAGAGAGATGCAACTGATTTATGTACATTGGCATTGTATTCAGTATTCTTGCTATTTTTTTAAATTAAATCTAGTATTTTTCTGGGTTTTATCTTGGGATTTCCTTATATATAATCACGTTGTCTACAAATAATGATGGTTTATTTTTTCTTTTTGCAGTTCTTTATGCCATTTATTTACTTTTCTTGCTTTATTGCACAGATCAAGACCTCTAGTACAATGTTGAATAGAAATATGGGTAAAGCAAAAGCTTTCAACATTTCACAATTAAGCATGACTTTTGGTATTGGTCTTTGTACATCTAATTCATCAGATTAAGGAAGATCTCTTATCTTCTTAGTTTGTGAGGAGCCTTTCTTTATTATAAGCACATATTGAATTTTATCAAATACTTTTTCTGAATCTATTATATTTATCACATTATTTTCTCCTTCAATCTGTTTTATGTTGAATTACATTGATGGATCTTCAAATGTCGACCCAGCCTTGCATTCCTAGAATAAACTCAACTTTGTCATGAAAAGTTAACATTTTAATTAAGTTGAGAAGTTGTATAGTGTCTATGGTGAGGAATTGGGCTTGGGAGCTGAACTTCCTGTATTCTGATTTCAGCTTTGCCACTCCTCACTCTGGTTTTTGACTTCATCTGGTTAAGCTACTCAATTTCTCTGTGTCTCAGTTTCATCATATGAAAAATGCAGATAAAAATAATAACGCCTTTCCCATTGGGTTATGATGAAAATTGAATGGGATTATATAAAAAGCATGTAGAACAGTGCATAGAACATGGTAGCTATTATTACATGGCAAAATTATAAATAGAAATATTTATTTGTAGTAATAACTAGAAAAAGAGGTAAATTCTCTTATCACTATCCTAATAAGATGCTTCAAAGAATTTTTCATATTCTTTCTAAAATTTGTATTTCTTTGTTGCATAGAACAGATATTTTGCAATATTGCAGTGACTTTATGAAAACAAGCAAATGAATTATAATTTAAATTCCTGTTATTAGAACACTGTATTTTTTTTTCTTCTTTTTGGAGAGGAAGATTGGCCCTGAGCTAACATCTATTGCCAATCCTCCTCTTTTTGCTTGAGGAAGATTGTCTCTGAGCTGATGTCTGTGCCAGTCTTCCTCTACTTTGTATGTGGGATGCTGCCACAGCATAGCTTGATGAGCGATGTGTAGGTCCTTGCCCTGGATCCAAACTTGTGAACCCCAGGCCGCCGAAGTGGAGCATGCAAACTTAACCACTATGCTACCGGGCCAGCCCCAAATATTATATTTTTTAAATCAGTGTTTCCTCCTAATATTCCTTGGACTGCTATAAAATAGAAATAGTTTCACTAATAACTTTATTTTCAGGGCTTCTTGAAAAAGCTACTTAACAAAATGATAATTCTTGCTTCTACACTGAATTATTTTTATTTATTTAATTTAAATATTTATTATTATTTTTGTTTGAACCTTAGATTATCCACCTGGATTATAATATGAATGGTGTAATTTTTCCTGACCCTTCAGGAGAATCATATATGATGATAGCGACTTTTTCCATATTGGCTTTTGATGCTCTCTTCTACTTGGTATTGGCATTATACTTTGACAAAATCTTACCCTGTAAGTAATAGGGGATTTTTCTCTGACCTCTACTGATATTGATCACATTGAAGATGTTTTTCTTAAGGTTATATAAATACATTTTAAGAAATGAAGAATAACAAATATTTCCTTTCACAGGCTGGATGAGTTTTTTTATTTCTACTTCATAATTTTAATGATCCCAAAGAATTTTTATATAGAAAAGTTATTCTTCTGACTTTAATAATAATACATATTATAGATATACAATAATGATAATTTTAATACGTATTATAATTATATAGTATTAAATAATGTTACTTTTTTGAAAGATCCCTGAAAGTGTTTTCAAAGAACGATATTTAGGATTTGTATCAGAACAAGCTGAAAAAAATTAGTTAAGATGATTTTGGCTAGTATAAGACCCTCTTATGGTAGAAGTGCTTCCTAGTAAATATTTGTTCATTTTACAAGAATGTGGGGCAGACTATAAACTAAATGCATCTAGAAAGGACCTCAGGTGTGAAATAATCAGTGTCTTCCTCACTGCCCCCTGCTTCTGGGAGGACCATTTCAGAAGGGGAGATGTCTATCCCTTCAGGAAATAACAAAATGAAAATTACATTTTCAGCATTATTCTGAGATTTTTTCATATACTGTGCATATTTACAGAAGTATGTTACCCAGTTAGATGTACTTTTTCTTGCAAACAACCAAAAATTTCACTTATTATAAGCCCAGAAATTCTTCACGTACACCAGGATCAGAATGCTTTTTTCTTTCTTACCTTCAATAAACGGTCTTCTTGTTTTTTATGTTCCTTCTACTTTGACTGTATTTAAGCTTGTCTTATATGTTTCTATGTATTCCTGTCTTTCGATCACTTCTGGTTAATATCTGAAGGCCCTTAATAACAAATACTACTTTATTTTTTTAAATCTGGAAAATTACTATATGTTCATCCTGAAAAAATGTAACTTTTTCATGTACTTTTTATCCATGTACTATATAGATTTCAGTATCATGTTCAATTGTATTGCTGTGGTCAAATGATTTATCAAGTTCACAAACATGTTTATAATTATTTTTATGTGCCATGTTACAACTTTGCCCCAAATATTTGGTTTTATTCATTCTTCTAAATACCTTTTAGGACATATTTTATTCAAACTTTTGATTTATACTTTGTTGAAAGTTCTATTATATTGTTTAACTTCTGTGATAATATGTTATTTCTTTGAATTTTCACTGTTTACTTCAAAATCAAGTTTTCGTCTCAATAATAATAAGTTAGAAAGAAAAGAATTTCTCTGTGATGCTTAAAAGTCCAAGACATTCTGCTGTCTTCTGAACAAGGCTTCTTTGCTCACTGTTTTAATGTTACTGATCCAATATTTATTGCCTTTTGATTAATTAGATGGAAATGAACGCCATTATTCTCCATTATTTTTCCTGAACTCATCATGTTGTTTCCAACGCCAAAGGACTGATAATAAGGTCACTAAGAAAGAAATAGATCCTGAGCATCCCTCTGATGATTATTTTGAACGAGTAGCTCCAGAATTCCAAGGAAAAGAAGCCATCAGGTAATGCACTTATACTAATATATGGATGCAAGGCTAATGAATTATTAACCAACAGCAACAAGGTGAGCCTAAGGCAGAATATTGAAGAAGAAATTTGTTTTTGTGAGCATCACTTTGAACTCTTCCACTGCCGTCACCACCAATGTCCCCTAACTGCTACTTGGAAGGAAAATTCTCTTTGCTTAGCTCCACATAATGTCACTGCATCACTCTCCATCCTGTCTCCCTCCTTGTTTCTGTCCCTTGTCCCCCACTTCTCTTTTATACTTGCTCTTTTCTTTCTCTGTCCCTTCCTCCTTAGTTTTGTCTGGCTTACGTGATATGATGGAAGGAGTAAGAAATTTAGAATCAGAAATTCTTAAATCTTAATACTACACTTCCCTCTCATTTTATGTGTAATCTTGGAAGAATGAATAAGTTTCTCTGAGTCTTGGTGTCCTCTATGAAACAAGAGTAGCATTTACTTTGTAGGGTTGTTTGTAATAGACTTATATGAGTTCTTAAAATATCCTTGCTCTCAGCCCCTACCTCCAGTGATTCTAACTCAAGGGATGTGGGCTTGAACCCAAGTGTCTGTGGATTTGAAAGAGCCCTGTAGATTTTTCTAATGTGCACTAAAGTTAAAAAATTAAAGTTTTATTATTTTTATTTTTTTAATAATTTTATTTATTTATTTTTTCCCCCAAAGCCCCAGTAGATAGTTGTATGTCATAGTTGCACATCCTTCTAGTTGCTGTATGTGGGACGTGGCCTCAGCATGGCCGGAGAAGCGGTGCGTCAGTGCGCGCCTGGGATCCGAACCCGGGCCGCCAGCAGCTGAGCGTGCGCACTTAACCGCTAAGCCATGGGGCCAGCCCAGAATTAGAGTTTTAAATATTAACTGTTTATTTATTTAGCAGATATTCATATAGTGCTTACTATGTACCAGACACATATTTAGTTCCCACCAAATACTTATACGGCAGGCGCATTTATTTGGCCCATTTTACAAATGAAAAAATTGAAGTACTGAAAGGTTAAGTCTCTTGCCCAATGTCACACACTTGTAAATGGGGAGCTGAGAGTGGAATCCAGTCTGGCTCCAGAGTTTATGCTCTTCCCCTCTGGCTGCTGTAGAGATGTCAGGAGGCAAAGGAAGATGAATAAAATGGAACTATAGCTGGAAAGTGAAAGATTTCTCTCTAAGACAAAGAGCATAGGGTGAACCTATGTACCTAAGCTTCGTCCTTCTAATTCTGACCCTATTTTCTGTTAAGCTTTCTGAGAGGCAACAGCCACTCCCAACCCCAGCTCCACAGAAAACATCTACCCCAAAAAGAAAGGCCAAGTCGGGAATAATCATGAAAACTCAATCCCAATGTCGTCAGTCCCTCTCTTCCAGTTGAGAGCACAAAAAATCAAATTATATTACTATTCAAATTATAATAATTTTCAGATTCAATTTTCTAAGAAAGTCTTAAGATTAGTTACATAGATCAAAAAATGTTTGTTCTTCTACTGCTGCAAAGGAGAGAAAAGTGAAATGTCCTCACCCACCCACCCACCATTCCCCTTACCCTCAACGCTGACCAATCTATGCAATGTTGACTCGGGACAACTCTGTCTCTTGGTCTGGATTCTTCATTAAAGTAGAGATCTGGGGCCACTGACAAACTGGGGAAGGAAAGTCATCTGATCCAAAGCCTGTCCACTGAAGCTTTTGGCTCCACTGTGGGACACCTCACCCCAGATCCACACCAAAGTAGCAAAGTAGGCTTAGGTGCCCAACATGATAGCTCTTCAGTGACAAGATGCTCATATTCAGTCACCACTGAAGCAAGTTCTGGGGTTGCAAGACAGCCTAAAATTGACCTTTACTCCCCAACATTAGATGCAGGTCCCAATCCACAAGTCTTATCTCTTCTTTCTTCACAGCAACCCTTTCTTAGGACAATGGTTGCCCTTTCCCACCACTAGACAAGTGTCAACTCTATCGCAATCAATCCCAACATGTGAATTTGATTTTGTATGGCTATAGAAGGTACTAACGTGTCAATTCTCTTTTCCTCAGGCAGTCTCTTCTTATATACTAATGAACTCTTCCCCTTTCCCTAGCAGCCCTTAAGCTATATGTATCTGGAATTATGGAGGAAATCTTGCAGAGTTATAACCAGAATCTAGATCTTGGTTATGTAAAAATACCTATTTTTATTCAGCACTGGCTCCCTCTCACCCATAACCCCTCCCTCAATTCTCCTTCTTCTTTGGGGGCGTTTGTACGCCCATCTGTCCATTACTGGAATTTTAGACCGTACATGCAACACTCCCAGGACATAGGCAGGATGTCTGCCCCAAATGTAAATGGATGTCTTCATTTCTGAAATCCCCAAATAACCAGCTGCTCCTAAATGGAAGTTTATTTATTAAAATAAAACATTAAAGCCCCACTTCAGTGGGTGTCCCACCTCACAAAGAAAGGTGGAAATAAAATGCCCTGTCAGATTCAGCACCTTTTAAGCCTTTATCTTTTAAATTTCCCTACTCTTTGGTGTAACCCCAAGACCGCCAGCATCCTGGCTGAATCAATGTCTTTACCTTTATTCTGATTCATGCTCAGAAAAGAGGGTGACTAGACTCTGTTTCCCTTTGGAAGTGAAGATGCATTGTACACGATCTTATGTAATCATGACATCTCTAATCTGTCTGGTTCCTGCCTTGGCCTGCAGCAGTTCCCTTTGAGATTCCAATGTGCATTCAAATTTGATAATCACTCATTTAGAGGTGTGTGTGTGTGATATTTGGATGAAGAAATTCAGCAAACCTTTAGATGTGTGAGCTCAGGGAAAAGGATGAGGGCAACTTTACGTTGGTGTTGAAACCATGAGAACCATTGAGATCCTATTGAGAGAGTTAAGAGTGAGAAGACCTGTAATATACACAGAGAACCTGGTCGAACATTAAGATGATGTGTCGGGTGAAAGAAGAGGACTTTATAAGGAAACAGCGAAGGAACATTTGGAAAAACAGGAAGAAAACCAATAAAGTGGAATGTCACCTTGAAGTAGACACTTTCAACAAGGAGAAAGTCATTAAGAGTGACCTGTAATCCAATAAGTAAGGATGGAAAAGTATTTATTGCATTTAGTAATTAGGAGGCCACCAATGAATCAGTACAAAGAGGTTTACTAGAGTAGTGGATTCACAAGCCAGAGTGTAACTGAATAAGGAGAAAGTGAGAAGTGAGGAAGTGGAGATGGCAAGTTTACATTTTTAATTTAAGAATTTTGTTAAGATGGGGAGGAGAGAGATTCCATTGTATCTAAAGCAGAGTTAGAGGTTAAAGAGAAGTTATCAGAGAGGAAACTATAGAAAATGCAGGTGACAGGCTCTGATTAATGAACGAGATTGGAAGGGATGGGAGATGATGGTTAAAGAGTGCAGATAAATGAACTGATCTTGAACAGGAAAAAAACCCACAAAATCTTCTAAGAATAGAAGAAGAAAGTGAGAATAATTGCAGGCACTCTACTTTTCTAAGCAAAGCCTAATAATTTAATTGTAACTTTCTAAAGAGACTCCTTTATTTTCTACCTCAGGGGAAATGATTAATCAAAAATAAGTCTTTGTCTTTTTCAGTAGATGGTAATGCCATCCCTTATTTCAGGTAACAGGCTTGACTACATCCATCACTCTAAGGTGGGTCATGATCTGTACTATTTTTGCCTCTGTGTTGGCTAAGTAAGCACCCCTTTTGTCATTCCAGAATCAGAAATGTTAAAAAAGAGTATAAAGAAAAGTCTGGAAAAGTGGAAGCATTGAAAGGTAAAGAACAAGCTCTTCATTGTTTCGTTGACTTCTTTATTACAAAAAATGGGGAACATTCAATGTGAAAAAGAAAATATAGGTAATCAAAACAGAACGAGAAAAAAGAATACAAACAGTCTAACTCCACTACCTGGAAATTAACTATGCTTGAGAATGGATATAAAATCCTTCCAGATGTTTCACGGCTCTATTAATTTACAAAAATGAGATCATACAATGAAAAATGTGATTTTACTTTGTTTTTTAAGATGAATTTGCTATAACCAATATTTTATTTGCAATATGAGGAAAGAACACCTAGACTTAAAATTGATAGTTTTTTTTGACTAGCCAGGGAATTTACATAGTTTATATGTACTGGTGAGATTCATTAAAACAAAATGAGTAACACCATTGACCATGAATTAAATTTCACAAGTCAATATCCTATGACAAACATAGTTTATAATTTTGAATAAACCAACATATTTGATACTAAAAATTCTAACAAATATGGTTTTCTATAACAAACATTTAGGCAAGCATCAGAGCTAGTGACTACATTTTATAGAGGACAGCTTGCTTTTAAAAATTAGTTAATTAATTTTTATTGAGTTATAATTGACATATAACATATTAGTTTCAGATGTATAACATAATGATTTGATATTTGTATGTATTGTGAAATGGTCACCAAAATAAGTCTAGTTAACATCCATCCCCACACATAGTTACAAATTTTTTTCTTGTGATAAAGACTTTTAAGATCTACTCTCTTACCAACTTTCAACTATGCAATACAGTATTATTAAGTATAGTCATCATGCTGTACATTATATCCCATGACTTATGGATTTTATAAATGGAAGTTTGTACCTTGTGACTTCCTTAACTCATTTTGCCCACCCCCCACTGCCTGTGGCAACCACCAATCTGTTCTCTGTATGTATGAGCTTGGTTCTTTTTTTTTTTTGGTTTGTTTGTTTGTTCGTTTAGATTCCACATATAAGTGAGATCATACTGTATTTGTCTTTGTCTGATTTATTTCATTTAGCATAATACCCTCAAAGTCCATCCATGTTATTGCAAATGGCAAGATTTTGTTCTTTTTTATGATTGAATAGTATTCCCATTGTACATATAGTTTGCTTTTATTAATAATGATTTTAGGAAGAATGTAAATCATTTTTTCAAGGGACAGAAGTTTTAAAAGTTAAAAAAGAAGAGCTGTAGACCCTGAGAAAGATTAAGAGTTCTCTCTCCATTGTGTTTATATTACATTTATTTTCTAACAAATGCAGCATCCCTTAACTCAATCTTACTTATTCCTTTGAGATTAGGTTTTACTTTGAGAATTTAATGTACTTGTGTCAGCAAGTTTATTCTCACTCCAGGTTTTTCTCATCAAACTCCATCTAGACCTGTGGTTTCTTTAATTTTAGCCGAGGATATGTTGGAGTATTCTTAAATTTATCATTTCAGTTTCCAGAGCACATTATGAACTGCCTTTGCACTCATCAATAACCATGAACTTCTTTTTATGTCTAAACGTCTTCAACTTCTGCAAGAATTTCTTCTGTTTTTAAAAGTAGCAGAATCTTAAGAAAAATTGAAAGCACTGAACATCAATGCATAAAAAAATATATGAAACAGAACCAATTGGAGTTGCTCTTTTGGAAGTAAGAGTGGAAGTTGTCTCTCTCAGCCTTGTCCCCATGCAGCTAGTTCCTGCAGCAACTTTGGAACACCTTTTGGGAACACACTTTTTTGTGGGTGTGTGCTGAGGAAGATTGTCCCTGAGCTAACACCTGTGTCAATCTTCCTCTATTTTGTATGTGGGTCACCACCACAGCATGGCCACCAACATGTAGGTCTGGGTGTAGGTCCCCACCTGGGGTCTGAATCTGGGCTGCCAAAGCGGAGCGCATGAAACTTAACCAATAGGCCACGAGGCCAGCCTCAAGGGAACACACTTTTGAAATCGCTTATCAACAGCCAACCTTTCAATGGCTAAATAGCATTCCATTGTGGCAATACCGTGATTTACTTAACTAACACACTAGGGTATGAAGTTCTGTTTGTTTCCAATATTTTCACTATCATAAAAAACACTATAATGAATATTCTTGTTCAGCCTCTGTTAAGATCATTATTTCCTGAATATAAATTTCTAGAAGCAGAATTATTCATTATTCAAAGGGGCTGCAGTTTTAAGATTCTTGATTCAAATTTCAAATTGTTTCCTTCCAAAGTTATAAAAATTCATACTCCCACAAGCAATAATTAACCACAACAACAATAATAACACCGATGATGATAGCAACAAACACTTAAAGTTCATTGAGCACTTAATGTGTGCTGGGGACTATGCTCAGTGGTTTACGTGTACTTTTTTTTTGTTTAGTCCTATGAGATATATAATATCTCTCCCATTTTGCGGATGAGGAAACTGAGGCTTACATTTCTTTTTTTCAGTTAAATGGGGCAGTTCCAGGATAGCTAGTGTCATTTTTCTCTTATTCTTAAAAATATTTATTTTTCCTTCTAAACAAAACTCATAAAATTTGTTAATGTACTTTTTTAGTTGTCCCAATATTATTTATTAATTAATTCATCTTTTTTGGTGAACTTGAAAGGTTGTTTCATTAATATATTTCTTATGTTTACCTTGGTCCATTTTAGGCTTCTATTCTATTTCACTGATCAGTGTATCGTGGACCAGTAACATATTATTTTAATTATTGTATTTACTCCACTGGTATTACTGTATTAGTAACATATTATTTTAATTTTTATAGTTCTCCAGTGTATTTTAATATCTTGTGGCCAAGACTAATTTCTTACTATTCTTCAATTTTTCTTAATGATTTGAGTTTATTCTTCCAATGATCTTTAGAATCTTTTAGTCAAATTATAAATGAGAGTTTTAATGGATTGGATTAAAATAGGAAGAATTTTCTCATTACATATCACTATTATTGCCAGCACATTTAATAGCTGACTAAACCGAATCTTATAGAGTTTAGTTTGTCCAAGATCACTCAGACAGAAAATAGATGAACTGGAATTTCAGCCTAGTCCCTAATTAATTTCAATAATGCTTGAAAATAGGTCACATAATTTAATTGAAAGGACCTGATCTTTTAGATATAACGTATTACATACAAGATTCTTAAGAATTTTATCTTACTCTGTCCAACAAATTTCCATAATAAAGTTTGATTTTCACTTGATGGTAAAGCAAACAAAAAATAATACCTCAAATATTCTTAGCTAAATGATTTTTGCTATTGACGTGTAAATGCAAAAAGTTTATAACAAAAGAATAGAAAAATGGGCATGGGGAAATATAAATTTTTGGTGAATATATTTTAGAAGGTTATTAATGCCTTGGAAAATGTTTATGATTTAATATTTGAAAAGGCAGACTAGAAAAGAATAGAGTATGATCAATGTTTGTAAATATATATGTACATTTACATATTCATATATGCAGATGCATACACACTGGAAATAAGTGTATTACAATGTTAATATTTAGAATTATGCTTAATTTTATCCTCTTAAGTGATTATATTTATTTTTCAAGTATTCTACAGTAAGCATGTTATTTTAGCAACCAGAAAATATTGAATATTATATATTTTAAACTACTGAAATGCTTGAGAATACACAACTAAAATAGATTGTCTTATTCTATTTTTAGAACCAGCCTTGTCTAATATGCCTCATTTATAACATTAATATTTTATTCTAAAAACAGGCTTGCTCTTTGACATATATGAAGGTCAAATCACAGCAATTCTGGGTCATAGTGGAGCTGGCAAATCTTCATTACTAAACATCCTTAATGGGTCGTCTGTTCCAACAGAAGGTGAGCAAAAACAAATTTTTTAAAGGCAAGATGTCTGATAATAGAATGAGGTGACGGGTATGCCTCTCTCATTTTAAGGTTTAAATTTGACTGCTTAAGAGAAAATAATGTTTGTTTATCTAAAGTTGTTTATCAGAACTATATGATTTTGAATATATATTTTGTTTCCCAAATTTTTATGAAAATCATTATCTTTATTCCATTGCTGTGTGATGTTCCAGGGGAAATATACACTACTCTGGGCATATATTTATGTTAAGAATAATTAGTAGTTGTTAATAAGTTATGAAGTCATCATTTTAGATACTTGTGAATATATGCCAATATTTTCCTGAATAAGATCTCCAAGCATTAATAAAATGTATTATCTTGCCAATGTTAAATTATTTTTAACTTCTATTCTTAGGATCACTTACCATCTATAACAAAAATCTTTCTGAAATGCAAGACTTGGAGGAAATCAGAAAGATAACTGGCATTTGTCCTCAATTCAATGTTCAATTTGACATCCTCACTGTGAAGGAAAACCTCAGGCTATTCGCTAAAATAAAAGGGATTGAGCCACGGGAAGTGGAGCGAGAGGTAGATAGACGTGCTTGGATTGATTGAACTGCCACCATTTACCAAGTTAAATCACGACCACAGAATTCCCCTCAGTGGTTTACCACCCTGTTATGAATAAAATTTAGCCAATAAGGCCCTATTAAAAATATCTGCTGCTGTAATGAACAGTTAAAATTGCATACCATGAATCATCTTGGATTTTAAGCTTTCTCTATTTTCTTGTATAGGTACAAAAAGTTTTGTTGGAATTGGACATGCAAAACATTCAAGATAACCTTGCTGAACATTTAAGTGAAGGCCAGAAAAGAAAGCTGACCTTTGGGATTGCCATTTTAGGAGATCCTCAAGTAAGTGAGATAACGCATGTGGAGGAATGCAGATTGAATATCAACAAAAAGTCAAGCTCTTCTTTTACCACTGAAAGTAGTAGAGCTTTCACTGTAATGAATCGAGAGAGAACCTGGCATGTTTAACTATGAATCTAAGTATATTGGACATAAATGGTTCGATAGTTATTTATTTATTGGTTTTTATTGTTGTCCATACTGTCATGTGGAAACAATTAACGTGAGAGAGAGACATATTTTATATATCTTCATCCTCTGCAGGTTTTGCTATTAGATGAACCAACTGCTGGATTGGATCCCTTTTCAAGGCACCGAGTATGGAGCTTCCTCAAGGAGCGCAAAGCAGACCGTGTAATCCTCTTGACTACCAATTTCATGGATGAGGCTGACATCCTGGCTGGTAATTGTTGGTTTTATCTCAGTGTCACAATAACGAATTTTGTAAATGTTTATTCCCAGGACAAGAGCCTTGCTCTCAGTGTGCCTGCATTCCATAACATTCTGGGGATGACAGAAGTCTAGTCCCATTGTAGAATTCCTCGCTGACTGTACATTTACTAGATTGTGACCCCTCATAAAAGATTGTGATTTTTTTCAGATCAGCTATCAATTAAACATCAAAATCTTCTTTAATATATGTTTGGTTGAAAAATATCCACTCATTCTTTAGCATCCAGCATAGAAAATATGCCAATGTAATTTATACTTTTTTTCAGAAGTATTGGAGGGCAATGAAGTAGACTGGAATGCATAAGCTCCTTTTAAATGCATAAATTTTAGTGTGTGTTGCAAATTTTTAAATGCACATTAGATATAGTTATGCCCACAGAATACTTCTTTAGAAATCTGAGCTTTGGCTCCTGATCTATATTTTCTAGAGAGGGAAGAAATGACTCAATATTCTTTCTTTCTGGCTTCTTTTTACTCAGATAGAAAAGTGATCTTGTCCAATGGGAGGCTGAAGTGTGCAGGCTCTTCTGTCTTTTTGAAGAGAAGATGGGGTCTTGGATATCACTTAAGGTAAAGACTTCGGGGCTAGATTAGAGATAGATAGATAGATGGATAGACAGATATACTGGTATAATCAAAAGGTAGACACTTAGGAGAGAGAACTGGCCTTATGCTTCATCTCTGCCAAACTGGATGGATCAGTGTTTCCCAAATGCTTTTTCTACATTCCTGCCTCCTTGTGTCTTTACTAATGCCAATGATAAGCAAAATTTCAAAATTATAAGCCCAGGCTGCCTGATCTCAGCAGGGCTACACTTTCAGGATGTTCCTCTGTGCAGCATAAACCTTACTTTCTTCCTACTCTCCATTTGCCTCAGCTGATCCGTATGATTCTATAATATATTTTCATTCTTTCATAGGGCACAAAGTCAAATAGTTTCAGAAGCTAGTATCAGCAGAGATTAAATCTGGTGGTAGAGGGTGAAGAAGACTGTGTCTAACAAGAAAATGTATCCAGGCTAAAGGAATTAAAAATAAAGAAACTTATGGTCAAACAAAACATGAACATAGGACAAATTTCCCTATTAGCCACTAATTTCTGATATCTACATGGTCTTGTGTAACCATCATTTCCCCTAAGAAGTCTCTTCTGCCTAATGTTCTCACCTCCCTCTGTGTATCTTCATATTTGATATATATAGTTTTAATTACATTATGTATTTGTTTGTATATTTGTAGCTCTTCTGAGTTTATACACCTTCTCTGTGTAGATCATAAGATTTTTCAAACTGATGGTTTGAATGATTATTAACAATTATTATTGTTGTTATTGTTTACTCATTTTGTTGGTTCCATAAAGCCAAGTAAAGTAGTACCCAAAGGCTAGATATTCAATAAAAGTTCTTCTTTTGTGGTATAGCAGTGGAGAAAATACAAATGAATTGTCTTTTCTTTTAAATATTAGTTTGTACACAAATGAAATATGTGATCCAGAAAAAATAACATCCTTCATTAATCATCACATCCCTGATGCTAAATTGCAAGCAGAAAGCAAAGAAAAGCTTGTGTATACTTTGCCTGCGGAATGGACAGATAAATTTCCAGGTAACTTAAATATGATTACAATGGAATGAAATTTTGGAACAAATGTTCACATTATTGCTACAATCTACAATTTTTTGTTTAATGGAGTTGGATTTAGTTTTAGGTTGGGTTCCCCAAGGAGCAGAACTTGAGATGAGGATTTTAGTGTAATTAACTGTTTGAAGATTGATGCTTAGAAGCACCAGTAGGGAATGGGGACATGAGCGGGAAGGGAAGGGAGCCGGGGAAGTTTATATTATCGAGCAAGTCGTTGCGACAAGAAATGAAGGTGTAATACCACAGGAGAAATAAACGGACGAGTAAACACATGGGCTCAGAGTTATGTCACTGGAGGGATGAGAAAGCGGGGGTATTTATTCGCCATTCCTTGTCCATCATGGGTTAAGAGATGCTCCAGGACCATTAATTTTCTGACCCTTCTTTCTTGTGCTCAACATGAGCTTAGCATACTTGGGAGCCCAGAAAAAAAATGCCTTCAGGCAGGTGTTCTTAGTAAGCAGATTTGCTATATATAGGCAAGTATAGAAGAGTTGGGGATGGGGCATCAAGGTGTTGGCTACAGGTTCCCTTTTGTATTTTAATTCAATTGTATACGTATTTATTTCACAGACAAAAACATAGTTTATTTATTCTACAAAAGTGTTCACCGTGAGTTCCCAGCCTGCTGGGTAGTGGTAGCAACCTAGGCTTTGTTTGATAAGTAGTCCTAATCATCACTAACTCTTTGTACAGTGCTTACTCTGAGCCAGGCACTGTTCTAATGGCCTCATATATATCAGCTCATTTAGTCCTCACAAAGATTCCATGAGGTGAGCGCTATAATTTTCCCTGTCTTACAAGTGAGGAAATGTATCTCATTCTTTTATGACTTAAACAGCTTCCTTTTTGTTTAAACATTTAGTTTATTATAAGTTTAACTCCCTATAGGCCTGATTTACACAGGCTCATTTGGATGATTCAGTCTCATTAGGCAAATACTCAGGAATTCAGACTTAATCCACCTCCAAATATGGCACTCTGTGTGTCCTTGTAGTAGCATGGAAGATGGCGTCCTCAGGACCATGGGCTATATACTATGTTATTCTGTTCTTGGACTAATGTCCAGTGAGATGCAACTAGCCCACCTTCTTTTTTGATTGGGGAAGGGGAATAGTGAGTTATATGCTAGTACCACCACTAAAATATGTCACTTAGCCAGAGTCCCTGGTGTTGATGTGTCAGCCCATGGCAGCCTCTTTATGTAGGCCCCAGGCCTCTGCAAGTCCAATGGTATACTTATGTTTTTGCTAGGACATAGGAGACTCCTAGATCTCTGGCATGCCATGTGCAGGCCTTGGGGGAAACACAGTGCTGCTACCACCTCAGCACTCATCTAGTTCCTCTCAGTAGTGTTGCTGGCCATCATCCCATCCAGTGTAGAAAGTGGCACTGAGAGGCTTCTCAAAGAAGCTTGCGTCCTCATCCAAGTATCCATCATGGAAGAAGTACACAAGAACCTTTATTGGGTTTATTGGGAAGCTATTATATAAAAGGTATTGCTCAAGGTGCTAGGGATATAGAATTAAAGAAGACATGAGTCCCTACCCTCAAGGAGCCTACATTCTTTGTGTGGGGAGAAGCGGAACACACAATAAAACAAACAGTATTACAATTGTATAATAAAATAATAATCAAGGCCATATGGATTGGAGAAATGACTGGTGTCAGGCTGGGGTTTATACAGAGTGGTCACAGAAGGCCACAAAAAGAAAATGGTCTAGAGCATTCTGAGCAGAGGGGAAAAGAGAGTGTCTGTCGTGCAGTGAGTAAGGGAGGAGAGTGGCAAGTGGGGAGGGGTCAGGTTGTAGGCAGAGCGCCTCACTCAGATGGAGCTTTAGAGGCTGTGGTATGGTCTTGGATTTTATTTTAAATGCATTGAAAAACCACTGGAGGTCATTAAGTGGGGGATTATTGATGTGATATGACTTATATTTTCATTCTCTGGCTATAAAAGGTCACTCTGGATATAGAGGAGCAAGAATAGATACTGGAAGACCAGCTATGTGACCATTTCAGAGGTATAGGTCAAAGATGATGGTGATTGGGCTACCGTGGTACTAGTTGAAAGATGGATGGAAGTGGGTGGATTTGAAACATATCTGGAGATAAAGTCAAAGTGTCTGACTGATGGCCAGTCTTTGGAGCATGAGGAAAGTGAGAAATCAAGAGGGACTTCTAGATTTTTGGCTTGAATCGCTGGGTGGAAGGTGGTGTCATTTATTGTAAAATGATGGTAGAGACAGTTGGGTAGGATGGAGAAAGAGAAATTAATGTTCTATTTTGGAAATGTTTACTTTCAGATGCTTTTAGACTTCCAAGTGGAGATATCAAGTGGCTAAGAATATAGTTGGTTATAGGACATGAGAAATCAGAGAACAGTCAAAGTGAGAATTGAATTTGGGAATCATCAGGATATAGATGGATTTAATGCAAAGAGATTGGATCAGAGTGTATGAAAAGAGAAGATGATCTAGGACTGAGCCCTCAGGGGAAAGTAGAGGAGGAGTCAGAGGGTGGTGGAAATCGAGACCTCCCAATGAAGTTAGAGGAAAAACAAGAGAATATGTTCTTAATATCTCAAGGGAGAAAACGTTTCTAGAAGGAGAGAGTAGTCAACAACTTTGAATGCCACTGAATTAAAACAAAAAAAAGAGAGAGAGAGACCAAGATAAAGAATAAAATAAAAATAGAAAAAAACTTCTCCCTTGAATTTAATGACATAGAGTCGTTGATGACCTTGAAAAGAGCAGCTTCTGCGGAGGGATAAGGGTAGCATTTGGATTTGTGGGGGTTAAGTTGAATAGGATGTGACAACTTAAAGGCAGAAAAGTAGACAAATCTTTGAGCCATGTGCGTGCATGGGCGTGTGTGTAGGAAGAGATTGTTTTTTTGTTTGCTTTTTTTTTGTTTACCGGGTGTCCTTACAGTATTTTTGCCTGCTGTTTAGGATGACCCAGTACACGTAAGAGACATTGATGATACAGGAGAGAGAGAGAGAGAGCAGAGATTAATTTGGCAAGTTCCTGAGATGCCAAAAGAGGATAGAATTCAGAACACAAGTCAAAGAGGTAGCCTTTGATAGGAGCAGCTTCAAGTCTTTCATCCATACAGAAGGAAGACCCAAAATATGGGTAGAAATACACATGGATTTGTGGTGTGGAGGTGAGAAGATGATGCTCTTTCCAATTGCTCATATTTCATCAAAGAAGTTTGTGGGGTATTCATAGGTGAGGATAGAAGATGAAATGCAGATGGTTTGAGGATAGAGGGAGAGGTCTGACATATTCATTTTAGAGAAGGAGAGCATTCTAATGAAATTTTTCTTCTGCTTACTGTGATATTCCTAAGACATAAATTTTCTGAACGATATTCTGCATCATCTTTTAAATGTAGATTTTAGATTTAGGTATCAATGTGATATTTCCAATGTATCTGATCTGATCTGTTGCCTTAGACCTTTTCAGTGATCTTGATAAGAGTTCCGGCCAAGGTGTGATGAGTTATGACGTTTCCATGTCAACTCTGAATGAAGTCTTCATGAAACTGGAAGGAAAATCAGCTATGGAACAAGGTAAATCCATTTGTAGAATTCACAGAAAATCAACTTCCAAGTGATCACGTACCAATTTAGTATTTATAATGTCTTATGCGTGATTCACACTAAAGAATATGACAAATTCCAAATTTGACTCTGCTGTTTGGAAAGGGCTGTCATTGTTTCCTAACATCACTACTAGGACTGTACACAGACTCCTTCTTGGAAAATACCAAATTGCTCTTTGGAAACTATTTGCTTCAATTTAAACAATGTCCTCCTATCCCCAGATACTCACTGCTTCTTGAACACTTTGAGGATGTGAAAGGCTCTCAATCAGGGTCATGAAATCTGAGCAGATATTTCTTATAAAAAATTGTTCTTAGCTTGTTAATATGCAAACTTCCACAAAGATCTTAATGGGGAAGTCTTGGGACCATCTCATATGTATTTTAATGGGTGATGCTGATAAGAGCAGTCATTTATAGAGCCCCTATGCCAGACGCTTTGATCAATGTGTGAATATATTGCATTACCTTCCTACAATAACCATACTTTCCACCAAGTGTCATTGGCACTATCTTACATATGAGAAAATCAGACCGAAGTTTAGCAGTTAAGTGATTTGCCCCAAATCATCCCAAGTCATATATGTGGGAATCAGGTACAGATCTGGTGGTTTCAGAGCTGGTAGTCTTTCATCTACACTTCTTGATAGCTTAATAGTAAACATTTAGGCATCAATGACAGCCTATTCCTGTGGAGAAGATTTCTTGGAATCTCTCAGAATATTGTTACATGTGGGACTTTCTATGCCTGTTGACAGACTGGGCATAATGAGGTCACTCTTTAGTGAATTTTTCGTTGGGTATGAATTCAGCATTTTTTATCACTGGGTTTATTGAACGTGGACATCATAAACATAATTTGTTTCTTATATTGTTTGCTTTGTAACCACAAACATTCTAAAACAATTTTTAATGTTGAAAAGAGAAAACTGTGATAACCAAGGGTGGCATTAATAATGTGTCTGTGTGTATGTGTGTGTGTGCAGACTTTGAACAAGCAGAAAGGATAAGAGACACAGAAAGCCTGCACAAAACGGAGCTGGCTCGCTCTTCTCTCCCTGAAATGCAGAAGGCTCTGAGTGACATGGGCCTCTGGAGGATGCAGGTCTGTGCAATAGCGTGGCTCCGTTTCTTAAAGTTAAAACGTGGAAAGAAAACGCTTTTGGCCCTGTGAGTATCAGAGTACTGTTGTTTTGTAAGTGAGTTTCAAAAGAGGGTCAAACCAGAAGAGAATTTAAAACTAGAACACAATACGCAACATTCCTACCAGAGGCAACAACATTTCTGCCGGAGGCAACATCTGATTTTACTGATAGTGGGAATACCTGTCTGTTACCACTTGATTAGCTTTATCTACAGGTCTGCTTCATTTTCATAGTTTGATAGCCTGGTGTTTATACAGCAATGCCTTTTAGTACTGTTGGCATGCTAAAGTACAACTTCCAAAATTTTAGCACCTATAATCAAGGTGTAGAGTTGGCACTCGACAAATATTTGTGAAATATTTGACTGAATAAATAAAATTGCTATAGATTTATATGGTTATTTTTCTTTATTGGTAGACTATTGGTATTTGGAATTGCAATGTTCCCTTTGATTGTGGAAAAGATACTTTATGCTGTATTAAATGAAAAGAATGATTGGGAATTTAAACCTGAATTGTATTTCCTCTCTCCTGGACAACTTCCCCAAGACTCTCGTACCAGCCTTTTGATCATCAATAACACAGGTGAACAGAAAAACAAGATGTAGATCCAGAAATAAGTTATTTTTATTGTTACATAGCACATGTAAAGGGGAAAAAGCAAATCATGAGAAGAAAAATGTGTATTTAAACTTCATGTATAGAAAACAACTTTGAGGCGTAGTGCGTATTTGCTCTGATTTTGGAGATGGTGGGGAGGGTGGGACAAGCTATAAGGAACCCAAGTCACTATAGGAACGGGATAGAAGGACCCTGGTAGAGCAGAGCTGCCTATTTACCTGACTACCCTGAGCCGTTATGTGAGAGAGAAATAAACTTCTATATTGACTGAACCCCTCTATTTTTAGATCTCTTTGTCACTAGCAGCCTAACCTCCACTATAAATATTATACACACTGATTGACATGTAAAGATGGTATTTTTATACACTGTGCCCCTCCAACAGGATCTAGGAAGATTCCTTAAGAGGATTTGGAACCTGTGCTCTTGTTATCCTAAATGATGGGTAACTGGTTTTGTCTAACTGCTTATTTAACTTTGAAGAAGAAGCTTTTATGTTTCTGCCCAAGCTATTAAAATATATTCAGAGTAGGAGTCCTCTCTGGATGAGTTCTCCAGCACATTCCAGTTTTCCATATACATTTGTGATTCAAGGTATAGAAGTCTCCTCTTTAAACAAAGGTTGTCTTTTCATTTCTGTTTCTCATTCTTGTGGTTTTCTATTTGGGTTTTGGAAAGTAGATTGTATTCACTCTCCTATCTCACTGAAAGCCTTGCTAATTGTGTATTTGACTTCCAAGATCTAGAATTGTTTCTTCACCTTTCAGCCTGTTGTTGTCTCACGTATGTATTTTCCTCTCTAATTACTCTGAGAACAATGTTCTTGTGTTAACTTATTTATTTTTTCTTCTCTGTGCTCAGTTGTTAGGTATTTTGTGATATAAGTTTGGAGTTTCTATGCCATCTTGTTTCTCTTTTCTCAAAATCTGACGATTATTGGTAAGATGTTCATATTTAAATTGGAGAATCCCTATTTGCCCAGGTGAATGTGGTCACCATTAGGGTATCTTACCTCAAGTAACTGGGGAGATGCAGTGGGACAAACACTGCCCCAGGGTACATGGAAAGCTTATTTTCTATGTGTACCTCCATATCCCACCTGGTGGAAATCCTAATTAGGATTCTAATCCCAGAGCCCCCTCTGAGTGTCCCCAGTATGAACTCCCATTTCAAAGTCCAAAAGAGCAAAAAATGAGAGTCTTCCTTTCTCTTTTCCTATTCCGTCCTGTCCTTCTGATTGCCTGGAGTTACTTTAGGTCCTGCCCTACTGTTATCTCCAGATACTGTCTCTTAGAAAGTAAATTGGGGGTCTTGTAGCCTGGAGACAACTACAGCTGCTGCCTGCTCTGTGTGGAACGCAGGGAGGGGCCTGTGGTCACCTTGTTCCAGGTGTGGTTGACCAGTCAGTGAGCCTGACTGTGGCTTCAGAGCCCGCTTTGCCCCTTGAATTTCTCCATTCTGAGTTCTGATATCCTGGAAATTGGTTTTATCTTTTCAATTGTTTGCTCCTATGTGCTCTAGGCTGTGGGTTTTTCTCAGCTCTTAGTTCTCTGTCAAACAATCTCATCTGCTTTCTTCCTTAGGGGCAAATCAGAAACTTCAGTCTGATAGTGGCACCTTTTTCGTTTCCCAGTTCCCAAGAAAAAATATATTTATGCACTATATATGTACGTAATACATATGTAAATATGTAAAGGTATATGTTATATATACATATATTTATTTTTCTGTTATTTCAAAGAATAAGGGAGAGAGGAGAGTGTTATTATTGGCCATTTTAGGCTGGACAATCTGAAGTACTCCTCATATAATTATTGTATCTCCACAAACGTTTGAGTTCAAATGTATTTTTAAGCAAGAATCATAAATAGAATTATCTTATTTTAATGGTCACGTGTTAACTTGCCTTAAACAGAATTTTAAAGCTAACTCATCACAGCATAAGATTCCATAAACTGAAGACGGTAGAGTGGTTTCTCTTTCAGGGGCCAATATTATTATTGTGGTGCCCAAAGAGACATGCCTGCACATAAGATTCTATAAATATTGACTGTTAAAAATTTGACACATATGTCCTTGCTTTTATATTGTCTTCTATTATTGATTTCATACTAGACTCAAATATTGAAGATTTTATACAGTCACTGAAGCATCAAAATATACTTTTGGAAGTAGATGACTTTGAAAATAGAAATGGCACTGATGACCTGTCATACAATGGAGCTATCATAGTTTCTGGTAAACAAAAGGTATGTTTGCCTCTTGCTTCTTGTTTTGCTTTTATGAGAAAAAAAAGCCCCAAGACGTTAATAAAGTGCTACGTTTTAACTGTTTCAAAAACTGCAGAAAGTCAACCCAGGTAGTATACAGCAATACGATTCAAAAACATTTTGGGTCATTATTGAATAAATTGTGAAGTTTAAAGAAGTTTTTGTAAAATATTTCCTTTTTTTCTCTTCTATGATAATTTGTACTTTATTTTTTGTAATTTTTTAAAATGTGGAAATAATATTTCCACATTTATTATACTTACACAGAAGTATATAGAACACATATGTACATCTTCATTATTGCAAAGTGAATTAAAATATTAAGTGAACACTCACATTACCCATGTTATCACCATTCATGTTAAACAAAAGAACATTGCCAGCATCCCAGAAGCCCTCTGGTTGTTTTTCCTAATGATAAACCTCTCCCTCCCTCCAAAGTAACCACTATCTCACTTTTACGCTCCTCAGTTTCTTGCTTTTCTTTATAGTTTTACCACTTACAATACTTCCCTAATCACGATAGTTTAGTGTTGCCTGTTTCTGACCTTCACAAGTGTACAACTTGTAATCATAAAATGTTGTCTTTCTTGTCTACTTTTATTTTTATTTTTTCAAGTTTATTACTATTACTTTTTTATTGACATATAATTGACATATAACATTATATTAATTTCAGGTGTGCAACATAACATTTTCTATCTTAACTTTTGAATTAGATAATTTTTACATTTCAAAGTAGCTAAATGTAATTGCCTTATTCAGACTCAATAAAGTAATAGACCTTATAATTACTGACTCATATAGTTATGAATTTAAGGAATCCTATTCAATGACTAACTACCCAAATAATGTTTTCATATATTGAGAAAAGACATTAAATACTTTAATAACCACATGAAATCTCTGAGAGAAAAGTGTTCTCAGTCTGCTATCTTAACATCTTTCAGTTTGGGTAAAAAAAGAGCAAGCAATAGAGATCCTTCCAGGATCATGACTATTGTAACTACGTCATCAGTAAAACTCTGAGTCTTACTTACATTCCATTGAAAATTAGGGAGCCACATTAAATGAAAATACCTCTTTATTTCTTGCTACCAGGGAAATAAAAACAAAAACTAAAGCCTTTGAAGCTGCATCAGTGAATTCAGTTCTACCTAAACTAGGTACATCATAAAAAATGGAATCTCTTTGTGCCAACTGTAGGAAACTATGTTGTTTGTCAGTTGCTTTACTTGTTAGTTATCTAACATATTTATTACATGAACTATTGGTAATATTTAAACAATATTGAGCCTCTTGATGAATATATAAACATTTTCATAAACATGAAGAACATAAATATTGTCGTAGAAAGTGTGAAAATGCTTTATTGGCAGTGTAGCCATGAATATTTTATGAACCCCGTGCTTGTCTCTTATCCAGAAGATCACGGTTCCTTTGCTTGCTCACTGCAAACTGAGTGTGTCTCCTTGTCAGGGCTACTTTTAAATTCCGTTAGCTGAAATTTCCTCATCAGTAAAATGGAGACAAAATGATCTAAAATTAGTAATATTAATAAAAATTCATATTGCCAACTGTGCTATCCACTGTACTAGGGTCTAATATACATTATCTCATTTGAACCTTATAATAACCCATTTATTACACCCTTTCACAGATGAGGAAGCTCAGAAAGGTCAGTTAACTTGAAGATGGTCACACAGCTAGAATGTGGCACTGTTAGGATCTTCTATAGAAAAACTTTGTTCTTTAAGAACAAATTAACATTATTTATTTTATTTGCATTTGTTTGTTTTATATTAAGGATTATAGATTTTCAGTTGTGTGCAATACCAAGAGACTGCACTGTTTTCCTATCCTTATGAATATTATCAGCAATGGGTTACTTCAAATGTTTCATCATACACAATCTATTCGAATTGAGAGAAGATCATTTCATTTGGTAAGTATCAGATTTACTCATTCTGAATAACTAGGAATTTGACAAGAAACCCATGTATTCCCCTTTAGCTTTTAAATATTCATAATTGGTTGTTATCCTAAAAATTATTATTTTGTTCTAACATTTTAAACAGATTATATCTAACAAAATATGATTTTTTTCTTGTCAAGTTATTATCAGAGAATTCTCCTGGGGGAATACTTTTCAATATTATGTCATAGTCTCCTAGGGAATCTTCTGAAAAATTATGCACACTTGACTGCAGAAGGAGAGAGAATGAGAGCGTGTGTGTACACTGAACTGGAAGTCAAGAGCACTTGGAACCCAGCTTTAGAATCTTATAAATCTAACATAACTTGTTAGTGGACCGTCCACTGACTAAATAGGCGATAGACTGACTGACATGAAGGAGAATTTGCCGGTTCTTGGGCTACCTGCTTTCTGATGAACTCCTTCACCTCCCGTGGTTGCTCTACATTGCAGGGGTGTCTCATACACACAGGCTGCATTTTCAGGATTCTATGTCTGCCAGCTACAGGCTGGGTTTAGGCAACTGGAAGCAGTGGTGGGAGCCAGGAGAACAGGAGGATTCCCCACCCGGGGCTCCAGTCACATCACTTCCTTCCTTTGTCCCTCTAGCCGAGAAGTGACAGTGGCTTCTCACTTCATCGTCCTTGTTGGCTTCTCTGCCCTTTCCACCCATGTAACCATTACCACTGCCTGATTAATTTCTCTCTGTTTTAAGTGCTGAAGGTGGTTATGGTTTTCTGATTAGACCCTGACTGATATCCAAGAGGGACCTCTCAAAACTGACTCCAACTGTTTTAAGCCAGGAAGTTGGAAGAACAATAAACATGATTAGAAATGGAGCCATCAAAAAGGGAAGCCCATTTTGTGACAAAGGAGTCGAATTCAGTTTTGGCTTCACTGCATAAGTGGTGCTGGGGGTCCACGCAAGAGCAGATGGACGGAATATACTTGAGAGGTCAGCAATGGAGACATGCATCTGTGAGTTGAAGCCACCACTGACCGTGTGAACAGGGAGAGCAAGGGATGGTTCAAGGATAGTGGTGTCTGAAGGGAACTCTCCAGAAAGTGGAACCAGCTGGTAATAGAAAGAGATAGACGTTATCCCCACTTGGTCCTTTAGTTTCCTCATGTCATTACCTGTTTGCTCAGGATCAAAATGGATCAAGGCCCCATGGCTACACTCTTAGGAATCCCCAGTGGCACACATCTTTCCTCTCTCGGCCATTCTTATGAAGATGGTAATGCATTTTCCCACCTGGTGAAAAATTGGAATTTATAGGTGTAGCCTCCAAAGCCTTATATAAAGTTTGAGAATTGTAGAATTATTTTGAGATAGGCTATTGCATTGCTCTTCTGTAATTATATCCATGAAGCAGTCTTTGTACCCTACCTGAGCATAGTCCCAGCCTCAGGCAGACACCAATTTGGAGGTGGTGATTTGAAGTTCATCTTGAAGATGGGCTCAGTGGCATCGAGTTTTCTTTTTACGTCTATGTTTCAGAACACACCCACCCAGCTTCACATATCCATCACTAGGTTTGCTGAGAAAGATATGCTCATGCCTGAATAATTGTTCATCTAGGATTGCAATTTCTGAACTATTATTTTTTTGTATTGTGGTAAAAAACACATAACATAAAATTTACCATAACCATTTTTAAGTGTATAGTTTGGTAGGGTTGAATATATTCACATTATTATAAAACAGATCTCCACAACCTTTTCATCTTGCAGAACTAACACTCTATACCCATTAGCCAATAACTCCCTATTTCTCCCTCCCCATGCCCCCTGGCAATCACCATTCTACTTTCTGTTTCTATGAATTTGATTACTTTTGTTACCTCATAAAAGTAGAATCGTATAGTATTTGTCTTTTTGTGACTGGCTTGTTTCTGTCATCTATGTTGTGCTTTGTGACAGGATTTCCTTCCTTTTTAAGGCTGAATAATATTCCACTGTGTACACGTACTACATTTTGTTTATCTGTTCATCTGTCCATGGACATTTGGGTTGCTTCCACCTCTCAGCTATTGTGAATGGTGCTGCAAGGAACATGTGGGGGCAGATATCTCTGAGACCCTGTTTTCAGTTTTTGATATGTGCCCTGAAGTGGGTCCTGAGTTATTTTATTAATTTTTTTTTGTTTTTACTTCTGTTTTTTTCTAGGAGTTGAAGCCTCATGTTAAATGATCAGAAATCATTTTCCCTCCCACCTTCATGTGTAGATGTTGATGAAATAGATGTACACTTTTTATTTTGATTTTTCAGTATTTCAAAAACCACATTCCTTTTTTTGTTTTTTTGTGAGGAAGATTGGCCCTGAGCTAACATCTGCCAATCCTCCTCTTTTTGCTGAGGAAGACTGGCCCTGGGCTAACATCCATACCCATCTTCCTCTACATTATATGGGACACCGCCACAGCATGGCTTGACAAGCGGTGCATCGGTGCGCGCCCGAGTTCCGAACCTGTGAACCCTGGGCCGCCGCAGCGGTGCGCACGCACCCAACCGCTTGCGCCACCGGGCCGGCCTCTCAAAAACCACATTCTTTATGATTATTAGTATTCGTTTCATTTTTTAAAATATTCACTGGTTTAAAGTACCTTTTATATTTGCAGAATTATGTACTAATCTGGGCTGAGCTGCTGGAAGGCTCCTTTTTCTTATTTCTGGTTGTGTGCAGCATTTCTCCCTACATCGCCATGAGCAGTGTCAGCGATTACAAAGTAAGAGAAGAGAAAAAAAAGAAAAGGGACTTCAGGGACTTCTGTAATTGTATTTTGCATGCTATGTGTTCAAAATATTTTTCTGTGATAAAAACATTTAAACACACGTTTAATTTAGATAATGTGGTTAAACATTATTTCTATCAAGTCAGAAAATTTACTTCTACAATAACAAAATGCTTTTTACTTCAAAATTACAGGAAAGGTGCAATAATTTTGCAGGGACTCAAAGGGAGATATTATAAAACTTTTGACTATATTATTTCCGAACCACAAGGAGGAAATCATTGATGTTGAAATTGAGGACCAAATTTAAGACTTGAATTCCCCTATGTACTGTGGAGAATATGAATTTTTGTTATATTTGTGTTTGATTATGCTCTTTATCCAGGAAAAACAGTTAAATCAAATTTAGACAAGTCACCACAGTCACTCTCCCAGAGCGTACTTGGATAGTGGAGAATTTATTGTCCTTCAGGCTACAAAGTAACATTTCTTTTGAAGGAAATTAATGCCTTGAACATTTTGTGGTCTCCTTTTCTATTCATTATTCATGAGCTAAAGTGGGGTTATGAATCAAACCTGTCAGATAAAACCATACTCATTTTCAAAATTGCCACTTATGGAATTGGCTCCTAAACAGTATGTGCATAATTAAAATTATAAAAAAATAAAATTATTAGAAGATTAAAAAATATTAGAAGATTAAATTTATATTTATCTTTTAAAAAAACCTTTCAATGTGTTTGTTTTGGATTTGGATTTCAGTTGAATCTGTGTACCTCTTGTGTTTTTTCATCAGAAAAGAACGAAGTCCCAGCTATGGATTTCGGGCCTCTACGCGTCTGCTTACTGGTGTGGGCAGGCACTGGTGGATGTTACCTTCTTTGCTTTTATTCTCCTTTTAATGTACTTAATTTTCTATGTAGCAAACATAGCGCACATTTATCTCACAAGTCGAATTGTGTTTGCTTTGGTAAGTCACACATTACATAGACAATATCTTATAATGTAATTCATAATAAATTTTAACATTGATATTTTATATAATTGAGACATTTTCATTTCTATTTTATCATAAACAAAACAAAAAAAAACAGGAAAAGTACATGTGCAATAAAATACTTTAAAAATATTTGTAATTGAATTTTTCCCTCAGTTAATATTTCAGTTTTTGACTTTGATATCATTTGTATTATCTTCAGGTTGTAATTACGCTTGGTTATGCCATTTCCCTTATTTTCCTGACCTATGTGATATCGTTTATTTTTCGCAAGAGGAGAAAACACAGTGGCCTTTGGGTATTTTGCTTCTCTTTTGTAAGTACATATACAAACAAATAAATAGAGAAATGGAGTTCTTTTTCAAACTTTCAATGTAACACTAAATATAGTCACTTTTGTCCTGAGCAATGGGGAAAATTAATATCTTAAAATTACACCATAGAAAGGAGAGGGAAGTGTAATATGTTACAATATTGCCCTTTCTTATTTTAATCCATAATAATTCAAAAATAATTGGCAGCAAAGGAAAAAAGATATCCCATCATACGCAGATGTATTTCAATTTGAAATATACAGTGTTTCAGAGTCACATGTTTGATTCTCTGCTGTGGTCCTTTATTTGCTATAGTTTGTTCATATCACAATGAGAACATCTTAATCATCACATTAGTTTGCAAACCTACTAAAAAAGATGTTCTGCATTATCTTGACTTTCCTTAGAAATAACAAAGTCAAATTGCTTCATTTGTTCATTTATTCACTTTGCAGCTGAGGAATTGTGCAAGAGGAATGCATAATTGATAATGCAGATTCTATTCTATATACATGGCAGAAGGCCGAATAGAATCTACATCTTACGTAAAAATGTATCATAAGTTGATGGTCAGTGCAGTAGTCCTTTGTGATCTTGGGTATATTTGGAAGGACAGTTTAGGCAATGTCTCTTCATCATTAAGTAAAGCCACAGTTAACAGTTAATTTGTTTCTAGAGTCCAATGGACTCCAGTACCTGCAAGGAGGTGACACTTCATGGATATCTTAGGCCCTTGTCTAATAAGGAAGCACCCTTCTAGCCCGTATTTCAGCCCAGTGGTGGAGGTATAGTAGCACATCTTCTTAGCACACTGAGCCATAGGGTATTTCCTTTGATGCTGTTTGGAATCTTATCTTGATCCAGTGGGTGAGAAAGGAGGAAAAAACACCTCACAAAAGCAGAAACTTAGAGGCAAGTAGAATAAGAGGAGTTGGCTAAGTTGACTAAAGGACTTAGAGTTATAAAAAAGAAGGAGATAGGAGAAAAAATAGAAGAACGTGTTGTCCTGGAAGCCAAGAGAAGAGAAATATGTAAACATGGACAATTGTGCGATACTTTTGCAGAGAGATTGTGGTGATTGTAAAATGAGAAGAGTCCTATGGATTTGCTATCTAAAATGCTTGTTGTGCTCTTACTGAATACTTGATTGTAAGTTATATGGTTCTATTCCCAATTGCTTTTTATATGTATATTACATATTCCTCAAAATTGTAAATTCATTTCATATTGACACAACATTCCCTTGTATAACAATCCTCAAAATATTATAGTTCTCTGACATAAAGACTTAGGAATCACACACACACGGGGTTTTGAATTCCAGCTTTGTCATTCCCTAACTGTGGTTTTGAGGATATTGTCTAAGGTGTCTGGACCCTAGATTTCTCATATATAAAGGGAGGGATAATAAGAATAACCACATTATAGAGTAGTTGTAAGGATTTAAATAAGTAAGGCACGCTAAGTTCTAAATGCCTGGCATTTGTATAATATTCAGTGAATTTAGTAGTTATGATTCTTATTATTTTTATTATAATTAATACATTAATAAGATTCAGCAGAGATTCAAGTGCTCAATACACACTTGTTAACTGATAAATTGATCCTTAAAACAGAAAAATTTTAAATACACATTTCCCAGTATTCTAAAAGAAAATGAATCCATGCAATAAAAATGCACAATCTTGGAGAAATCATTTGTTTGGAATGGGGAAGAAATGCACCAGGGAGGACAATTAGAATGCTTTAGTCTAGGTGAGAGGCAATATGGATTCGTCTTTTTTATAACTGCTCGTATACCTTTTCAATATTTACAGATTTTTATACATTAACAATATTGTTACCTTAGCTATAAAAAGTTAATTCCTCTCTTTATCCTGTTGTCTTAGATTGCATTTAATCACTGTCAGGAAGTCTATTTGGTCATTTTAGCTTTCACCTTAATCTCCTGATTTTTTTATCTAAAAATTTTCTGTTGGGGAGCTAAAAGTCGTATATATTCTCAATAACAAATGCTCCTCTCTTCCCTTCTCCTTCTGGAAGGGGTGTATCTGCATATGGGGAAATTCTGATATATAGGATGAGAACACCTACATCTTCAGTATTTTCTCACATATCAATGGACTGAGTGTGTCTGACATATATTTCAACTTGCCTTGTAGACCTCAATCATCATGTTTGGCATCGTTTCAATGAATCGAGCCGACTTACGTAGCTTGGTTCCTAGCATGGTGTTAGTTCCCTCATCTACCTTGAGTGGATTTATAGCTTTTTTGGGAGAGGTAAGAAATGTTACCAATTGTGTCATTAATTTTGAATATGCAGCCTATTCAAGTGCTTTACCAAATCTATAAAGACAGAAAGTAGGCTGGTGGGTTCCTGGGGCTGGGTGGGGAATGGGAGTGACAGCAAATGCATGCCAGGTATCTCCTTGGGGTGACGTAAATGCTCTTAAGTGGAATTGTGGTGATGCTCTCACAACTCTGTACATTTACTAAAAATTCTTGAATTGTACACTTAAAATGGGTAAATTTTGTAGCATGAAAATTTAACTTCAATAAAGCTGTTAAAAAGCTTTTCCATGTGCACTTTGCAAACTGTAAGCGCTGTCAAACGCTATTCAAAACTAATGTCAGAGTGCAAAAGGTGGCCTAGCTTGATGAGTATTCATTATTCACTGTGAGGATACACTCGTGTAGAACATTATTCATTCATTCAAAAGTATATATTAAACTGTACTAGTAACTGGGGACGCCTGGTGGACAAGATAGCACAGTCCTTCCTTTCACGGAGCTGAGTGGAGACAAAGACAGACCAGCCCCAAGCAAGTGAATGCCAGGGGTTTAAAGGTTACAAAGGAGAAGGCGAACTGCCAAGGGAGAGAGAGGAAGCCCAGGTGATGTGCTCTGGAGAGTAGGGAATTCTTCTGGGGGAGCAGTGTTTCCACAGAGTCTGGAAGAATGAGTAAGAATTCATTAGCGGGAGAGTGGGGCAGGAGTAAGTGTGCTCTGCAGAGGAAAGCAGAGCCATTGAAACAGGAAAGACCAGCAGGCGTTAAATAAACTGAATGTGATTCAAACGGAAAAAGGTATATAATGAGAAGAGCAGAGCAGCTCAGTCAGGAACGTACTTTTTAGGGCCCTGCACCATCCTGGATGAAGAAAGCAGAGAGGACTCCCCTAATCGCTTGTGTTCTTGGGGTCCTGGGAAAGCCTTCCAGCTACAAAAGCACTTTTCCATTGGCTGAGCAGTGCCTGGAATTCTCAATGGGAAATTCATTGCTTTGCTTAAAGCATTTCTCTCCCAAAATATAAGTAGACCTACAAGGTGAAGTACATTAACCTAGGTCTGTCACACATTACTTAGGAGGGATGAGTTACTTTTTGAACGCATTGATTGATGAAGAAATAATAACTGGATGGGACCAATTATTGTCATGGGAAATAGTCACCGTTGGGGTAGGAAGGACCCTGAAAAGGCCTGTGAGGGGAATTTAGGACAGTTATTGTCAATCTCCAGAATTTTTCATGATGCAGGCACCTCTCTCTGTCATGTGTTCAATATTTTCACCAAACATTAAACCAAAAGATTAAAAAAAAAAAAAGAATTGGAAGAGAAGAACTGACATAGGATACCTGCTCATTGAGAGACAGTGAGAGTTGAGTAGGGCCCCCTCTCTTCTCTGCAGGCAATTGCTTGGGCACACAAGGGAGCCCAGCTTAATGAGGAAAATATTCAATATGCGAAATGCCATTTTATTTAAATGCAAATTGTAAAGCTGATGAATTTCCATTTAGCCATTTTTTTGTCTTTGCAGGGAGTCAACAAGCACCAAGATAATGTTCAAGACCCAAATTATGATCTAAGTGGAGTTGATTTTCTATTATGCCTAATAGTAAGGACTTTCTACCTCATCATCTATTTTTTTGGATAGTTATCATTTACTATAATAACTATTTGATCTTGTCTGAAGTGTGCCAACTTTGAAAGTGTTTTTAATGTAATCTTAAATAAAGCAATTACATTCAGACATGATTCTAAATCCTAGAGTTACTTTTTATGTGCATGAATGGACTGTGTAAGTCCAGAATTCAATATAAAGTTAATTTTTCATGTGTATTTATCCTTTTTTGCTGCCCCTTCCAAATTTGAGAGAGCTTGTAAAAAATACAGATGCAATATGACTTAAATCCTTTGAATTAGAGATAAAAAAGCAAAAGTCGAATAATAAAAATGAAAAGAAAAAAATGATTACATTGGTATATTTAGCCTGAAGAAAGCTATCGTCTTTGAATACAACGTGTCAGTATGTTGCTAGGTATAGGAGAAAATACAGACAGAAGTCCCTGCCCCCTTGGAGCTTATATTCTGATGGAAGAAGACAGATAATAAACTAAATACATAATAGATACTGTGTTAGATGGGTGGTCAGGAAAGACCTGGCTGAGAAACAAAGATCTGAAGGAAGCAGGCTGTTAGGGAAAGTTTGGGGATGAGCATTCCAATGGGAGGGGGCAAGAGTGACCCTGGCTTATTCCAGGGTTAGCCAGGAGGCCAGTGTGGTTGTGGCAGAGTGACCAAAGGGGAGAGTGGCACTAGAGATGGTCACAGAAGTAATAGGGTAAAATTTAGGGTGGACAGAAGGGGTTGCAGAGAGCGTTCTGGGTCACTACAAGGACTCTGACTTGGAGTAATTGAGGAGTCATTGGAGGGTTTGAAGAAAAGCGATATGATCAAACTTATGTCTTAAGGACCTTGTGTTTTAAAAGAGTAGCCCTAGTGACTGTGTTGAGAATAGATGTTTGAGGCAAGAGGAGAAGAGGGAGACCAGATAACAAGGTGCTGTAATATTACAATGAGAAATTATAATGACCCTGGCCTGGGGGGGAGTGGCACAGCAAGGGTGAGAAGGAGCTGGGTTCTGGATACTTTCAAAGGTAGAGCAGATAGAATTTGCTGACAGACTGGATGTGGGTTGTGAGAGGAAGAAAGCAGGCAGGATCCACTAAGCTGGGTAGTCACTGTCTAGCTGGATTTCTTCCCCGATGTGTAAGAATGATTCATATCTGTGTTACCTGGAGACAAAAGGCCACCAATATAATTTAAATGTTTAAAAAGTATTGTGATTTTATGCCTAAATATAACTGTTTTTCTTTGCTCCTAGCCTTACTTTCAGGCTTTGCTATTTGTTTTTGTTCTAAGACGCATGGAAATAAAGTGTGGAAAGAAAATAATGCGAAAGGATCCTGTTTTCAGGTTGGCATAAAACTTAATTTCATCCTTAATATGGTATTTTAATATTCCTAGATAGTGTCTGTACTATCAACTTGTTAATATGGATTCATATTTACAATGTAAACAGCATGGTGATTTTCATGATGGTCTGTGGGTTGCTGGCTTACTGCCAGGAAACAGGACTCTCAGGCAGAGTTCTGCCACTGACCAGTTGAGGGAAGCTTTCAAATTCCTCAAAAACTTAATGGGGGGGGTGCTGGTCTGGTGGCCTAACAATTAAGTTCATGCGCTCCGCTTCGGTGGCCCGGGGTTCACAGGTTTGGATCCTGGGCACGGACCTACGCACTGCTTATCAAGCCATGCTGTGGCGGCATCCCACATAAAGTAGAGGAAGATGGGCATGGATGTTGGCCCAGGGCCCATCTTCCTCAGCAAAAAAGAGGAGGATTGGCAACAGATGTTAGCTTAGGACTAACCTTCCTGAAAAAAAAAAAAAATTAATGAGTACTCAAATATACCATTCTCCCATTGAAGATGATTATACATCCTTGAACAGAAATGGTTGTATGGGGTGGAAAAGGTTGAGCAACATAGTTCAGAGTGCTTCACGAGTAGAGGGGCTCTAGACAGAGTGAACAGGGAAAGAAATTGAGGTGAATGTCGGATAGATTAAGATGGGCTCAGAGTGAACACAGAAAATGTAGGTGACCTGATTTTTAAAGAAGCGGCAGGACTTGCTGACAAATTTGAAAGGGTCAAAGATGCAAACAAAGTTATGGCAACACCACCAAGAAGAAGATTCTAGCTATCCGGTTGGAAGTTCTTGGCAAAAGCAGAAGCGATATTCACACAGCCATCATCCTCACCAGTTTGTTGAAAGAAAGGCCAATGGTAAAACCAGAGGGAAACTGATTTTCAATGTATCTTTGACAACAAGAAAGCTACATGTCACACATTTCATTTTCTCCACAGAATTTCCCCCCAAAGTAGAAATGTTCGACCAAATCCAGAAGAACCTGTAGATGAAGATGAAGACGTTCAAGCAGAAAGAATAAGAACAGCAACCGCCCTGACCACTTCAAACTTAGAGGAGGTAGAAAAGCAAGTGACAAAGTGGATTTAATGGAAATATTCAAGAATTATCAAGAATAGAGGTTGATATGCTGGTTTTCATTTTGAAAGTTTGGATTTTGGTGCATTTTCGTAATACGTGTTTTCATAATCTTACATATGCAGGCATTTCTTTGGAGTGTTGTGGAAGCTCAAAGAAGAACACAAAACATGATGGTTTTAGTCTTTTGAGAAAAATGGACTTTGATAAGTAGAGCTATAATTTCGAAACCAAAAATTTCATGAGTTGAGGAATTTATGTGAGACTTGTTATAAAATCCTTAAGATTTTAAGAATTATTCTTTTATTTGATTTAGATGTTACGATGTTTCCATGAGATTAGACACTTCTGTTCTGGGAAGGCCATGAGCCGCCTTCCATGAAACCATGCTGTTTTCTCAATCCATTTAGAAGTAAGGAATATTATTGACATCAATGAATGCATGTTACATTTGAAACAAGCAATATGGATTACCCTCAACTCAAAATATGGTTTGGTTTAAGACATAGGGCAGGGAGGTTCCAGTAGGGAGAACATAGGACCGTAAAGTGTCTGAGTTTAAGAGAAAAATCACGTTGTCCTCTATTCCAGAAACCAGTCATAATTGCCAGCTGTCTACACAAAGAATATGCAGGCCGGAAGAAAAGTTGCTTTTCAAAGAGGAATAAGAAAATAGCAGCAAGAAACATCTCCTTCTGTGTTAAAAAAGGTTTGGAAGAATCACTTTTTTTATTTACCATTGTTTTTAAAAATATCAACTGAACATATATGTTATAGGCACCGTTGTAATTGCTGAAGCATTCATTCATTCATTCATTCATTCAACAGATATATATATTTTTTTGTTGTTGTTCATTTGTTTGTTTTTTTGTTTTTTGAGTGTGCTGGGGACTGTTTTAGCCTCCGGAAATGTAATTATGAAAGAATCAGGCAAGTTCCTGTGTTCATGGATTTTACATCCTAAGAGGAGTTGATTAACAAAAAATAACTTATCAAGAAAAGTGTCAGATATCACATAGGCAAGTTCTGTGTGGAGCATTCAAATATGTGAAATGACGTGAGTGACTTAGGGCTGCGTTCACTGAGGGTGAGAGAAGGCCTTTCTTGAGCAGTGACGGCTAAGCCAAGATCTGGATGAGGACAAGGTGGTAGCTATGTGAGCAACACAAGAGCACCCCAGGCAGAGGAAGCAGCGAGGGCAGGGACCAGGCATGAGGACGCCTTTGGAGTGGTTGAGGCACAAAGAGGCCAGTGGATGCATCTGCAGAGGGGAGGGATGAAGTTAAAGAGGTGAGCGGGACCAAAGACAGCTGAGAGTTTAGATTTCATACCAAATTAGGGGAATGCTACCGGAGGGTTTTTAGCAGGCTTTTTGTCACCATTTAATGTATATTTTGAAAAAATTACACATTGGCTATTGTTTGTTCATGAATTTGGGTGGCAGACAAGTTAAGAGGCTTTTATATCAGTTCAGACAAAAGAGGATGGTGGCTTGGACACAGGTGGTGGAATCTGGGGTGGAGAAAATGTCCCTGACTCCCCAAGTTTAGCAATCATTTATATGTGTACACAGCACACAAGCCATCTACTATCAAAACCAATCTGGGGACATTTTTAACTGAAAGAGTAAAAAAAAAAAAAAAAAGACAGATGTGTTGACACCAAATCCATAAGCTTTTCACTAACACTTTATATAATTATAGGAGTTAAAGAACATGTTTTGATGACATGGATTACGTATATGTTATAACTTTCAAAATGGTGCTAAGTAAGTGGTGCACGTATCTCAGAAGGTCATTGGAGAAACAGGTTTATGTTAATCAATATTCGCTTCCAATATTAATAGTCAGTGTTCCTTTTTCAGGTGAAATTTTGGGATTGCTGGGACCCAATGGCGCCGGTAAAAGTTCATCTATTAGAATGATATCTGGAGTCACAAGGCCAACAGCTGGAGAGGTACTGAAAAGTGAAGAAATGTTTCCATTCTTGAAACATAAATTTTGTGGTAAATATAGGCTATATCTTTGTAAGACTATACTTTTATATTAGTAGTTTACATAGTTTTTTTTACAATAAATATATGAAGTAATTTCCATATATTTCTTTGATGCTCAAAATTTTAGGCATTTATCAGCTATGTGTCAGTTTCTTGAGTAATTGTGTGATTGGAGAAGAGGATACATGTGTTTCTAATACTGGTTTACTTTCTTAGGTGGAATTGCAAGGATGTAGTTCGGTTTTGGATCATCAGGTAGATGACACGGTCAAGTTCCTGGGGTACTGCCCTCAGGAGAACGTGCTGTGGCCCAACCTGACAGTGAGGGAACATCTGGAGGTGTTCGCTGCCGTGAAAGGGCTGAGGAAAGGGGACGCCTCCGCTGCCATTTCACGGTACAGAGAGGTCATGTGATTCTTTTGTGTCAAGAGGCAGGGAGGCTGTACCATTGACAGTGAACTCACTAATAAAGAATGGAGAGTGGAAATGATGTCTCCACCTTTTCAGAGTGTCAGTGGTAGAGCAGGGATGGGGGACAGGAGCTGTTTCCTGCATCCCTGATTGAGGGGTCGTTAAAAAAATATTGCATAAAATAATTGACAATGATGAGCAAATGAATAATCATCCATTTCAGTTCCAAATTCAGAATTCTAGTTATTCTTAAAATCTTTTTACGAGGTGAAGAATCTTTCATGTTCCAAAACAAAGTGCTGCTTCTTTTGATCAGTAGAGTTAGAGTTTTGAGAATAATAGTGCCAAGCTTCCCTCCAAAGCTGTTACTCTTCTGTGTGATTACATTTTCCCCAAATCCTCTCTTGATCTGATATTCTCGTCCTATTTTCCATCAGATTGGTGGATGCTTTCAAACTGCATGAGCAGCTGAATGTTCCAGTGCAGAAATTAACAGCAGGAGCCGCTAGAAAGGTATGTGTGGTGTGTGATGTTATTCTGTGATGGTGGCAGCAACTAGGTGTGTTTCTCTGCATTTCAGTTGTGTTTTGTGCTGAGCATCCTGGGAAATTCACCTGTCTTGCTTCTGGATGAACCGTCTACAGGCATGGATCCAACAGGACAGCAGCAAATGTGGTGAGAATTATCATAAACCTCAGAGCCAGGAGGATAAACCTAATGTAAAAGTTGCATTTTTAAACTGATCTTGGAAAACCAAAACCGCTGGTTCCTAATTTAGTGGGGATAATCCATATTATTAGAAAAACAAGTATTTAACAAATAGATTCTCTAATGTTGCATCATATTCATGTAGTATTCACACTAAAAAAACAAAAACACTCCAAAATTTGGAGTGTATTTTAATTTTGCCTTTTAATTATTGAGATGTCTATAAGTTTCCTTAGAAACTATTAACTTTCTGACATAAATTCCCCATTTCCCTTTTTTCCTCCTTTTACCTAATCTGTCAAATTTATTTATACAGTTTTTCTTAGTTTTAAATTCTTTTTACTTTCACATCTAGGACTTTCCATTTGGATTAATAAAACTCTCCAATCCAATTTTATATTTGTGACTGCCCAATATTTTCTCGACTTTTTAAAAGACTTGTGTTATGGAAATTTTGCACAAATGTGAAGAGAATCCTTTATGAACCCATTGTACCCATCACCTAGTTTCAACAGTTACCCACATAAGACCATCTATACCTCCACCCACTTCTCCCCACTCTCCAATTATTTTGAAGCAGATACTAGGTGGCATATGCTTTATTTATAAGTATTTGTTAGTATCTCCAAAAGATATGAAGTTTTCCTTTTCTTTTTTAACTTAACCAGAAGACCATTAGCATAACTAAAAATATGTAAAACTTTTCTTTATGTTATCAAAAATCTAGTCAGTATTCACACTTCCTGGTTTTTTTTGAATTAGTATCTAAATATGATTCATAAACTGTATTTTATCTATAAAATTTCCCCTCTATCTTTCTTTTTTTCCTACCCTCTTTCTTTCAGTGGTGTTAATTTTTTGGCTTACTTTAGGCAAACGATCCAGAAAGCCGTTAGAAACACAGAGAGGGGCGCCCTCCTGACCACTCATTACCTGGCTGAGGCTGAGGCCTTGTGTGACCGCATGGCCATCATGGTGTCTGGAAGACTCAGGTAGTTGTCTTTCCAGAGCCTGCACTTGGCTCCCAAAATGAGATTCCCTATGAAAAGGGCAAAATCACGATGCGCACCTCGAGTTCTTCCTTTCCACTCCCTCAGTGGCATCCTTTCCCCTACATTTGAAATTTAAGAACAACATGAAAAAATTTAAGGAGTAATATTTTTCCCAACATGTTTTCCTTCTTGCCCACAGATGCATCGGCTCCATCCAACAACTGAAAAGCAAATTTGGCAAGGATTACATTCTAGAACTGAAAGTAAAGGATGTTTCTCAAGTGACTTTGGTGCACATCGAGGTTCTGAAGCTTTTCCCACAGGCTGCACAGAGGGAAAGGTGAAAGGAGCTTTCGATGATGAAGAAATCTGTTGGCTTTATGCACTCGGTGGTTCTTTTTCTGCTCTGTGAGACTTTCAGGGTTATTTGACTTTATAATAAAGTTAGGGACCTCAAAAACGGATTTGTTGTTTTCCAGATTATAGGAGATTTGGGAGCTACCCAGGAAGCTGTCCCCACCTTCACTGCCCCCGCCCCCAGGGAGGCTTGGGGACACCCTGTGTGGGCCTTCTCAGCCATCCAAGACTGGTCCCTAGCCCTGGAGGGGGACTTGGAAAAATTAGGAGAAGGAACGTCTGATAACTCAGATCTACACAGGACTGCTGCCAAGCCCATGACCCCCGTGCCCCCCAGGCCTCCCTGTAAATATAAAAAAGATGTAAATATTTATAATTTAAAAGATGCAACTATTTAGAGTGAATCTTCCTCACGTGAAACAAACAGCAATTGAGATAATTAAAGAGTCTCCCTTTAATGGAGTTTTCATGCCTCAAAATGGAGAATAGAAAGGGGTAGGATGTGTGCATGCATATACGTATGTGTGTGTTTGTGTATGTCTGTGTGTTACTGGGGAGGAGGGCCAGGGAGTAGAGCAGGAACTAAATTTGAAATTCCTTGGAGGGATAAGCACAGCAAAGACGCAGGACATAACAACTGGGATTTTTATTTTAGCACAGTGTGAATGTAATGGAATTACCTTAGGTATATGCCCGGACATGTAACTCAGTCCTATTCCCGGACCCTCGGTGTCACAAATCCAAGAAGCGGCTTTGATACAGGTGGAAAGGTCATGACTAGTAAGACTGGAGGAGCAGGGAGTGAGCTGAAGAGGGCCACTCCCGGAGGTCTGGGCAGCTTTAGGGCTACTTGGGGCAATCAGACTTCTGTTTGGGGTTGTCGGGGAGGAAAAATTTTCCTTTACCCTTCTAGGTTCTTTTGCCTGGCGTAATAATTAAACTGACATAAGAGAGATTAACAGGAGAAAAACAAATTTTAGTTTTGTATGTACAGGAGCCCCACAAAGATGTGGGAGGCTTCCCGACAGTCAGGCAATTGACGCTTATATGCCACTCTGAGCTAAGAAGAAGGGAGTAGGGGTCTGGGGCTTCAAAGAGAAGGAAGACAGTTCTCAAGCAGATGGGAAGAGCAAATGCTTGGTAAACAAATGTTTGCCACGCCAAGCAGAGACAACGGGGCACAGAGAGGACTTTGAACAAACAGGCCCTGCTGAGCTCCCCCAGCTTCCCCCAGCTAGCCTATACTCTGTAGTCATCTCTGGTGGTAGCTCTCTACCTGGACCAGGCTGTCTATCTAAATTCTTGTAGGCAGTTGAGGGGGAAGTAAAAAGCTCTTCCTGAGTCTTTTGGGCCTTTATTGTGTTCAGCTCAAAATAATCAGCATGCCAAAGTGGCGCATTCTGGGGACGTTTGTTCTGAACCCATTGAAGGTCATACAGCCAGAAGTAGCATGTGGAAACAAGATGCCAAAAATCAGTTCTGGCTCTTCCTCTCCTCAGAGGTCAGGGAAGTTTTTAGTTAAAGCCTTTTGAATCCCTCCACTATTATGTCCCTCTCTCCCAACCTCATCTCTCCCTTTGCTTAGCTTTCTGGTGACAAGGATGAAATATTAGGTTGGAATTAGTTCCAACCTAAATTGAACTACTCAGAGGGATTAGTTCAGAAGATCTGTGTTCAACAAGAAAAACGTTTGCATAAACTGAGCATGAATGTAATTATGCTGGATCATTTCTAGAACTATCTCTAAAAGCCAGCTACCGAAGCCATTTTAAGACTTGTCCATTGATAAATTATTTTATTTATTTCATATGTAAGCCAGACATTAATTTGCATTACTTTTATTTTAAAAAGGAAATTGCTGATAATATCAGTATTTATTTTGATGGTCATTTTTTTTTTTTTAATAATTATTTATTTATTTATTTTTTTTCCCCCAAAGCCCCAGTAGATAGTTGTATATCATAGTTGCACATCCTTCTAGTTGCTGTATGTGGGACGCGGCCTCAGCATGGCTGGAGAAGCGGTGCGTCGGTGCACGCCCGGGATCCGAACCCGGGCCGCCAACAGCGGAGCGCGTGCACTTAACCGCTAAGCCAAGGGGCCGGCCCTTGATGGTCATTTTTTTCCCCTTGAAACTCAAGGTCAATTATGATATTTTCCTATTCCCAGGTACTCCTCCTTCTTGGCCTATAAACTGCCCGTGGCGGATGTTCACCCTCTATCTCAGGCCTTTAACAAATTAGAGACAGGTAAGAATGACCATTTTTTAAAGAAAACTTTTGAAGAATAAATTCAGACTTAGATAATAATTTAATTGGGAGATAATTGTGTAATAAATTTTAAAAGTAGGCCCTGGAGGGTAGGATTTTAAGAATTTTAATAGTAGGTAATGGTAGAATTTAACCCCAACTTTGGATAATCCAGCTCTCTGGAAAGTGGTTAATCTCCAGTGCAGAGACCAAAGCTGCAGGAAACACACAACTGTGCTGACTGGTTTTACTGTGAATTCATGACATGAACCTCAGACAGCCCCTTAGTCCGGCCTGCTTTGCTTCCATTCGCACCAAATGTCCTAACATTACTTCACTTCTCCTCTTACATATCCTTCTCCTTCCCGCTTTTCTCCCTCAGTTGATGCCCTTGCTTTGTATTTCACTGATAAAATAAAGGCAAGAGAAAACCTCCCTGCGGTGCTGTGTTCTGCCTTCCTGTTAACAATGATGAACTGTCTGTGTCTTTAGCTAAGGCCGTCCCCTGCATTGTGCATAACTCCTCTTGCCGCTTAAAATTGTCCATTCCCTCTTTTCATCATCTTTTTCCCACTTTCAAATGGGTCATTCTCAACAGCAGACCATCATGTGTAATTTCTCAACACAGCATGGTGGCACAGAGCTCAAAGGAGTGCCAGGCTCTCTGGGGTCCTGTCCCAGCACAGCTGCTGACCGGCTAGGAAACGCTGGGTAAAGCCACATAATCCCTGCATGTCTAGATGGCTCACCTGTAAAAAGAGGGATAAGATCAGCGCCCACGTGGCAGGGTTGTTAGGAGGATTTAATGAGTTCGTTTGTGAAAGCCTAGAACAGTGCCAGCTCATTGTGTTTGAGATAATATAAATCTCCGGTTCACGCCTTCCCCTCCAGACACCCTGACTTCCTGGCTCTTCCTAAATGTTGCAGACATGCATACTCTGCCTCGGGACTCTGCATTTGCTAATCCTTCCTGGAATTCTACTTTCTAAATATCCGGTTGACTTCCTCACTTCTTTCAGGTTTCTGCTCAATTATTGCCTTATTGCTGTGGCCTTCTCTAACCGTCTTGTACCAAGTGCCAGCACTTCCTGTTTTCTTTACCTGATTTATTGTTTCTCCGTAGTAGCTATCAACATTTACTTTATTATATATTTAAGTGCTTATTTATTTAATGTCCATGTTCCTCACACTAGAATGCCAGCTACACGAAGGCAGGGGTTTTGTTTCCGCCTGTTTTCTTTACTGCTCTATCTCTGGCACCTAAGGGTGGCTCACACATGGAAGATTCTCAATGTATAAATGGTGAACTGTGGGCGTGTGAATATGTGAATCTGGTGACTACTGTCATGCAGAGTTCCTGGTGGGGAAGCCCAGCAGAGAGCTGGTACGGCAGATGAACTGGCTGAAGCAGTTCCGTGGAAGGATCAGGTCCTTTTAAAGGGGATGGAATGGGATTGAAAGAATACGTATATCAATCAATTATGCAGTTCCTCAAGAAACTTACATATCTCCCCAAGATACATATACTAAGTTATAAAAGACATTATCAAAATGTAATGTGAGAAAATTCTAATATCAAGATTAATTTAAAATGTATTTGTATTAACTCTATGACTTTTCATGATTTCATTCTTTCACCAAGCATTTGCTTATTCATTTGCTATATTCCTGTATCACTGATTTGCATTTTTATTTTTTATGACTTTGAAAAAATTCTTGGTAATAAATTAAAAGCATCTGCTACTAGTCTTTTTTTTTTTTTTTTTTTCCCAGTGAAACGTAACTTTAACCTGGAAGAATACAGCCTGTCTCAGTGCACACTGGAAAAAGTAAGGCAGCTTTCATGGTTTCATATCATCCCTGTGAATTTCACAGGAAACTAACTGCATTTTTCTTGTTTATTTGGAAGACAATCAACAACTTGATAATTCTTTTTCGTTCTTCTTTACCTCCTATATAGGTGTTCCTGGAGCTTTCTAAGGAGCAGGAGCTGGGAAATTTTGATGAGGAAGTTGACACAACCATGAGATGGAAACTCCTCCCTCATTCAGACGACCCTTAAAACCTCAAGCCTAACCATTCTTTGTTGATGTCATATAAGCGTCGTTGTATGTACTAATTAGCAGTATGTATAATTTTAAAAATCATCAACATCAATATTAGGTTTATTTTGTATATTTAGTTAATCAATGAATAAGTTTTAAAATTATTCCTCCCCTCAAATTTAGGGGTGATAGAAAATCTGGCGATAAAGGCAATACAAAATATTAAGATACCTGAAAAGCCAAGCACTGGGTGTTGTGGAAATAATACCACAAACTTGCAATTTTTAAAAATATAGTCTTTTAGAAATATGATATTTACTAAAAAATTCCCTTGCTGAAATATGTGAAGGGTGTATTTAACAGCCAGAAGCTGCGTGATTGCTGCATGCCAGTATGTGATACACTGGGTTTATGAGCTTGCTTTAATACATAAGCACAACCCAAGAGTCTTCCTCTGAAACCTTTTCAGAAATTGTTTTAAAATTCACAGGGTCTGGAGTCCCTTGAACTGGATGAACAAGCATGTGCATTGGAAGAGCAGTTCAAATAGACTTATTGAAAACAATGCGAGTCATAGCAGCATTGGTTCAGATTTTTAAAATTTGAATACATTATATTGAGTTCTTACGATTGTGGGGGATGCTGATTTCCCTCATCAATAGTTTTCTGTGTATTTACTCCTATTTTAGATCATGCCCCTCTTATATGTGTGTATGCACATGTGTGTATATCTATATACACACACACGTGTGGGTATCTTTTGTATTCCTCAATTTAAAAAATCTATCAGCTTTACATATTATTTTATTTTTTTCCTTAAGCCATAGCTATTTCATTTTGAATATTACCAGAAAATTTTTTGAAGACCAAGCAGTATTCTTGCTGCTTTTTTTTGGGAGATGTGTTATATAACTTAAAAAAAAATTGTTACACTCATTGAAGAAAATTGTATAATGCAGAAAAATATAGAGATTGAATAAAACTGAATAAAAGAATCACTACAATTTCTCCATACCAAAAGAAAATCAACTATTTCCCTTTTCCTTAGTGCATTTTTTACATAGTTGGAATTATTATAGTACATATAATTTCCTCATTAAATATATATGCATATTTGCTGATATAACATTGAAGTTCTTTTAATTTACTTTTAAACTTATGGGGAATTTGTAGCTTTATATTTGCGTTTTATTTTGTGTTAATTATTTGTATCTTTTGTTCATTTATTTTTGTGTTTTAGTCTTTTTCTTATCTATTTTATAGGCTTTTTTATATAATTAAATATTTTATCTGTATATTTTACATATATCATAATTATATCTGGAGTATTGTATTTCCAAATCTATGATGAATCACCTATAGTTTACTGTTTACTCAGGAGCTTTTAGTGTCCTACAAAATAAATCTATATCATAGTGAGAGTAGAATTTAAGTGATTTCTAAAACTCAAGCAATAAATTCTCCTGTCTTGCTCAAATGTATAACATCACAACATACATAACCATTTCACATAACAATATGATGAAATCTTCGCTTGTATTCTTTATAAATTATAAATTTTCTTAACTGTTATAGAAATCTGTTTAGAAAGTACTGAATAACCAATATCAGATGTGGTATGAATATTTTAAAATGTTAAACTAGACATAGTTTGCTAAAACCAATATAATATGGTTACTTTTGAAGCTATTAACTTGGGTATTTATTAGGATTGTGTTCAAGAGCAAATGAATGGGTATGAAAAGAGATGGAGATGAGAATAAAACAAAGGAAGCCGTTTAAAAAAAAGGAAGACAGATCTTGTGCTGGTTTTGTTCTCTATTTTCCTAACATACCCCTTCCAGAGAAGGCTGACCACTGTGGACTGCATCACCAGTTCCCTTCATTGATGGTTGGCTTCCAGTTGGGTTTGACCAATCCAAGAGGAAGTAGCAACAGGAGGTGGGAGGGTGGAAGAAGAGAGAGGTCAGAGGATTTCTTCCCTTTCCCCCCTGTTTTGGTTCCAGATCTCAAGCCGTAGACATATGCTTGCAGGCTTATAGCCTTTGCCCTGCTCCAGTTACACCCACCTGCTTCTGCCCCCCCACCCCAGACTGTTGACCCCAGGAGTGTCTCACTCTTTCCTAGTCCACACTCAGCCTCCAGGAATTCATCGTAATTACCATTTAAGTGTTTTATTTCCTACGAATTTGTGACTCTAGTGACTTCTGCTCCAGATAAGCTAATCCTGGTTGCAATTCTCCGCATTCACTTCTATAAAAGAATAAGATATATATTGGTTTCTGCCCCTGGTTCCTTCTAATATTGGGTCTTTGACCTTGGTTCCTGACACAGAGCTCCTAAAACTCTTGGGATTTCCTGGGTGATAGGAGCATTTTCTGTTCTAATGAGGTAACTCTGGTGGGCTCCTGGATTGGGGCTGGTCACCAGAAAGACCAAGCCATGACTAGAAGTTTGGTACTTTCAGCCCCACTTCCCATTCTCTGGAGATGGGAGAAGGGTTGGAAATTGAATTAATAATTGATCATGCCTACCTGATGAAGCCTCCATAAAAATCCCAAAAGTACTAGGTTTAGAGAGTTTCCAGATTGGCAAACACATCCACGTGCCGGGAGGGTGGTGCAGCCCAATCCCACAGGGACCAAAGCTCCTGTGCTCAGGACCCCTTCCAGACCTCGCCCTATGTATCTCTTCATTTGGCTATTCATCCGAATCCTTTATCGTACTCTTTATTATATAATAAATCAGTAAATATGAGTAAATGTTCTCGAGTTCTGTGAGCTGTCCTAGCAAATTGTTGAACCCAAGGAGGGGGTGATGGGACTCCCAATTTACAGCCAGTTGGTCACAAGCACAGGTGACAACCTGGGACTTGTGATTGCTGTCTGAAGTGGGAGCTGTTTTGTGGGACTGAGTCCTTAACTTGTGGGATCTGATACTAACTCCATATAGATAGTGTCAGAACTAAACTGAATTGTAGGACACCCAGCTGGTGTTGGAGAATTGGTCAGTATAGGAAAAAACCCCACACATTTGGTGGCCAGAAGTGAAGTGTGAGAGCAAAGGAAAACATAGTGTGTTTTTCCTAGACATCTAGTGTCAGTGAAGTGGGATTTGCCTGAATGGCTCTGGCTCATGGAAACATGGTTTGGGAAGAGAAAGAATGAAAGGGCAGAGGGTGAGGAACCGTTGCTGCCTGGATGGCTACTTCATCACTCATGGAGTAAACTGCAGCTATGCTTTGATCAGTTGCTAAAGGTAAAGCTTAACAGCAGAATTAGAGATGAGAGTAGACCCAGCTCCTGAGGAACTGGCTCACTGGGTACATAAGAAAATGCAAAATAACATAAAGTACGCTAAACATAGAGTCTCTTGGTTATTGTTATTTGTAATAGCTAAAACGAGGGAAAGTGCTGGGTGGGAACTTGATGCTGGACTAAGCTCAGATTTGAATCAGTCTGAGCTTTGGCCACTAACGTCAAAGCTGCCCACAATGGGAAAAATCATGCCAAGAAAGTACCTTGAAGGCCTCTGGTCACCAAAAAAGTAGTCAGTGTGGTGGAGGATAAAACCAAGAAACTACTGAAACCAGGGGGTACAGTGTGAAGGAGTTGCCGCATTGTGTGGATGGGTATCATCAGCTGCCTGAGGAACCTTTACTAAAATGGATTGTGAGAGTGACTAATCTGGGGGCTGTGTCTTTGGTTTTGAATGTTGCAGAAGGAAGAGCATGTTTGGGTTGATACAGGGCCCACAGTTCGCTGCTGAACAATTACAGATGGCTTTAAGTGATCCAGACACACAGAGGTTATTCCTGAGGGAACGGTCTGCCTGGTGGACTGGATAACAGCCACCGTCAAGTGTGTTTATCCTGAGAAGGGAGACTGCCCAATTCCCCCTGTAAATGCCAAGCAGAACACCTCAGATGAAGCAGCTGATCTGCTTCACGTGCAAGCCATGAGGGATTGGCTTTATCATGACTGGGATATTCACCCACTGAATATGCCGGTTGCCAGGTTATGGTAAATTCTGTGATTAAGGGGGCCCCCTTTTACATGGGCACCGCATGTGACATTACTCTTGCAAAATCAAACAGTCTGAGAAGTTTTATCAGGTTGCTGTCTCAGCTTCCCTCTATGGATATTATTGACAACAGGGTGTCTGACTGCACACCCAGCTGTGCAAGCAGTGTGGGATAAGTAGTAGAGAGGCTGAAGAAAAGACCCAGAGACAGTGTACGAGACATAAATGTTGATTGGGACTTACATACAGAGAGTGTCCAGGAGTGGCTGTTTGGGTGAAAGTGTGCACCTGCACCAGCTACGGTGAACAGAGCAGGAGTTGCTTAAGTAGGCAGGGGAACAAAAGCTACAGGCTTGCCAAGAAGGACTGTCCCTGCATGACCAGCATTCCAAGGACCAGTAGCTCATGTGGAGGGGCTCTGTGTTCCTCCAAGACGTGATGTTCTTTCTGAATCGTTACAATACTAGATGGTTGGCATCATGCCCAGAAGGAGGCCAGAAGGACACATGGTTGCTATAGGGCACATAGTCTATTGCCAGACAAGTGTGACGCTACACAAGGTCACTAAAGTAATTAAAAATAAAATGGGGAGAGACAGAGAGGAGAGTCAAGGGACTGGTCTCAGCAAGGTTGAAGTCTTTAGATGGAGTGATATTGTGATTTATAATAAGACATATATATGTTTGGTCTTCATCTTTGTGTCTGGCACAGATCTCCTAAAACCCTTGGAATTTCCTAAGAGATGAGAGCAACAAAGGTGTCTCTTGTTAAGTTAATGATGTGAGTTTTGGACCCACCTAAGGAGAGGGGCTAGTTGCCAGGAGAACCAACCCTGTGATTAGAGGGTTGGAACTATCCAGGGAGGGGAGAGGGCCTGGAAGTTCAATGGATTGCCAATGGCCAATGATTTAATCAATCATGCCTGTGTAGTAAAGCCTCCATAAAAACCCAAAAGGACGGGGTTCAGAGAACTTCCGGGCTGGTGACCTCGTGGAGACGCGGGGGGCAGTGGTGCATTCAGAGAAAGCGTGAAACTGTGTGTCCCTTTCCCCATACTTTGTCCCATGCATCTCCTCCATCTGGCTGTTCCTGAGTTATATTCTTTTATAATAAACCGCTAATCTGGTAAGTAAAATGTTTCTCTGAGTTCTGTGAGCCACTCTAGCAAATTAATTGAACCTGAGGAGGGGGTTGTGGGAATGTCTGATTTATAGCCAATTGGTAGGAAGTACAGGTAACAACCTGGGCTTACCATTGGCATCTGAACTGTGGATTTTGGGACTGAGCCCTTAACATGTGGGACCTGATACTATTTCTGGGTAGATAGTGTCAGTATTGAGTTGAATTGTAGGACACCCAGCTGGTGTCTGAGAAATTGCTTGTGGGTGTGGGGAACCCCCATCATTGGAATTGATACAAGAAACTATTTACATGGTTATGGAGAAATTAGATGGAGGTGGCAGATATTGATGGTGTTGAAACAAAGGTGTTAATGTAGCACTATCAAAGGCTGGGTGGATCAGTGGGACTCCCTGCTGGTCCCCCAACATTAGAAGGCCCCAAACAAGCCCACTCCATTTACCCCAGTTTAGAGGAATTTAAAAAGCCAGAAGGCAAAAATTACAATGAGAAACCCCACCTAGA